AAATCGTCCATGTACGGGTGGATGCGAAGATTGAGCCGGTCCCTGATGTACTCGACGAAAGGTCGCATGAACTTGACGAAGTAGAACGGAGATAGCTTCCATCCAAAAGGTAGGGCGATACAGCGAAAGTAACGTCCATCGATCCTGAAGAGGAACCAGTTGCGGATAGCCGGATGTAGCCTGAAATGATGGTACCCCTTTTCTATGTCGAACGAGAGCAGGTGGTCGTTCGGCTTGATTTCCAGAGCGAAGGATTCCAGTGTTTCCATTTTGACGGGAACAGACCGAAAGAGATCTGACTGTCGCTTGAGGTTGACGACCAATCGTCGCTTTTCCGTGCACACGATGAAGGCGTTGGAGATAGGGAATCCTTGCTTGTTGAGTCGGTGAGCCTCCACCGGGGAGATTTCCTCGTAGATGCGGCGGCGCGTGGCATCGGTGAGCTCGTTGCGTAGCCAGTCCAAATCTAGAGGTTCCACCGGGATCTCGGGGAGTACAAAGCGTGTGGCCAATTTGGCTGAGTTGACCGGCTTTTCGTACACCCCGAACTTGATGGCTCGGACTAGGAAGTCCGGAGCCCTGAGCCCTTCGGCCCAGAAACGTGCTTGGCGGTGTGGGTTTCGCCATAGCACTGAAGGGTCCGGTTTGCGGACCATTACTTGGAGCTAGACCCGGAAGAGCCGGAGCCTCCTGAATTGGGGTTCCGCGGCGGGTACCGCTGCGCCCCTTTTCCTGAAAGTCCCCTTGAGACACGCCCTGTAGCCTGTGTTCCTGAGTTGCGAGCAGCTTGTTTGTTGAATTCCTTGGCGTATGCCTGGGAGCGGAGTTCGGCAAACTTTTCCTTGGTGTCCCTGTAGAGTTGGGACACGTAGGGCTGATCCTGTTCGCGTAGGTACTTCTGGAGAAGTACCGCCTCGGACTTGCCTGATTCCACCGAGTCTGAGAAGAAGTCGACTCGCTCCTGCACTCGTTCGTACGAGGCTTGGAGGTAGTGGTGCAAGACTGAAAAGGGAGTGGGTCACTGGCCGGTTACGCGCAGTCGCCCCGTGGTGCGTGAACGGGAGCGACCGGTAACGGGTTAGAAGCCAGCGCGCGCGATAGACAACCGAAACAGACGTATATAGGCGCAAAAGGGACGGGGGCGAGCTTGCCCCAGTTTACCGGTAGGGTCGGGTGTCAGGTCTTAACCCCTCAGAGGGACGCCTCGGACACCTGTCCCAGTACAGTAGTACAGTACCTGCCGCCTAGTGCGTGCCGGGTACTGTACACAATTAAAAAGCTAGCGCCATAATTACTACTACCGCACGGACGCTGCTACTACACGTGTGCACTAGTGTACACGCGTGTTGCTTACAGACTACCGCACGGACGACACGTGTGCTAACGCGCACACGTAACACGTGTAGACTACCGCATGGACGACACGTGTGCTACTGTACGCGTGCCCCACGCCACGGCCGGTTGGTCAACGCGCGCGCTCCCTACATGTGGACACACCCGCCCACGTGTGCACCGTGCACAGCCGCACGGTTAATAACCTCCCCGCCCGCACACCGGTCGTTATACTACAGTAAACACAATCGCAGTGCGCGGGTTCGACTGGTAAGAATTATTTTTAAAAGTAACCACCTGTTTTCCGGTACGGCCTTCTGAAAAGAAGGAAACAGAGGAGGAATGGCTGGCCAGGGCAGAGAAACTCACTTTTCATGGCTGTTTACAAAGAATTCCTGATTTTTGATTAGAGCACTTTTGTCCGGAGTTAAGGGCACCCCTGTTTACAGCATCTCCACCAAGGCGTGGAACAAATTAGCCAAAGAGCAAAATACTTGCACAGTTGTACAAGCTTTATTGGCTGGGCTCTATTTCAAAAATTGCTCATTTGCTATACATATGACTTTTCCCACCGGCGAGAGCTTAAAGGATAGAGGCCGTACAGCCCCAGAGTTCAAATCATGGACGGGATCTGGTTTCAAGAAATGGCAGACGATCAACTAGAGAGCATCACAGAGCCACTTCTCGGGATCGACGGTGAGGAGGCGGGAGAAGCGCGGCGCTGGGTTGGTTCGGTCCCGGGAAAGTCTCCCAATGTGAATCGCAATCGCAAGTAGAATGGCTATGGTGTGTTTGAGACGGATTGTGATGCAACACAGTAAAGAGGTGCTCCGTTTATGTTCGCTCGCATGTCAAGGCGCGAAGAACTGAACTTTTCTCGGATTTCAAGGTGTTTCGGTTTAGCGCCACTCATTGACCAATCGTAATGCAGCACTTGTACCAAAATATTTGCTGAAATAGAACTTCGGGTGAGAGTCATTTGAGCAAATCGGACTGATTTGCTCGAGGCAATTTCGGCGGTGTTCTATTTTTTGGCACTTTTTCGGTCTGGTGGGGAAGTCAAACTAGTATACAAATGAGCAATTTATCAAATTTGATCAAATTTGGTATTTTGCTCGTTTGCTACTGTGTTGGTGGAGTTGCTCTTAGGTGTCCAATCCGAGTTTCATTTTAAAGGGGTGCTCCCGACGAGCACTTACCAAGCTATCTAATCAGCTTTACAGTGTAACAGCTGTGAGGCGGGGTTTTTGCCACAGTCCTAGGTATTAGCCACCCTCTCTGTCATTCCTGCCCCCCAAGCTGCTGCGCCCGCACTCACATTGAGGTGGCGACAGTCAGTCAGCGCAGCTACCTCCGTTATTCCAGTGAATAATGTTGAAGAAACAAGATTACGCTTTATTACCTAAAGATCTCGGTCCAGAAAAATGCTTACCGTTCCTTGAATTCCAGAGGATTGCCCCTGTCTTTCGCTGTCCCCAATTGGTGTGGACATAAACGTTGATACAACGGCCAGAGCAGCGTAGTGGCGCGCGTTTCCATGCCATCCCGGGCCGCTATCCCTGCGATACTACCCGCTTCGGCGGATGAGGACCACATTCGGCTTGATACGGGGCGCGCGTCCATGACTCACCTGAGTTCGAGTTCTGCTTTGGTAAGCTTCAAAGATGAGGGGGCATTTCCAGGATGAGAGGGCTTGAGTAGCGACCGAGAGACCGCGTTATCTTACCGAGCGTGTGTGTGAAAAACATTCCCAAATGGTTAAGCCATACAAGAAAGAGTAGGGAGAGAACAAACCAGTGACGACTTGATGACTGAGCAGCGAAGCTGAGGGTGGGATGGTGGGAGAAACAAGCGACGACTTGAGGAAGAAAGAAGAGTGGTGAGAGAGAGTTTGACGTGCCTCTCTTATACAGCCCTGTTTTCGGACAGTGGCCGAATTTCCATTTCTGCCAAGTTCCATGATGCGAATGAAGAATCATTCGCAATCATTGCCAAGTTATAGTGGGGGTGCCAAACCATTGTGTGTGACTTGGTGATGATTCATTTTTGTGCCAAGTGTTGATTATGCGAACGAAGAACAGTACCAAGTCATTCGTGACTTGGTGCTGATTTTTTGCTTTCGCCAAGTTCTTCGTTACGCGAACGAAGAATCATTCCAAATCATGGTGTGTGGCTTGGCGCTGACTTGTCGCCAAGTCATCCTGACTTGGCTTTCTGCGGCTGAAATGGTCCACTTGATTTCCACTTCCTTCTGAGTTGTCGTGCGTTCCAACCGAAAAGCCCCCTTGTCCAAATTCACATTTCAATTGCCAATGAATGCACTAAAACAGAAACTATTTCACTTGCTCACAAAATCGCTGGACGTAAAGTACGCCGAAGATTGAAAAATTCTGCCACGGCTTTTACGGACTGACCTCCAGCAGGGAGCCTGCCCGCAGCAAACGCAAGTCTGGTACAACGTTGTGCCGCCCGACGGATCACGTGCACCTGCGCGAATTCTCGCTGAAGCGAATACTGTAGCTCGCCACAAGGACAGAAAGGTTCTCAGTCGAAAGGGCGATTTGTTTCGTCTTCATGACAGGCTGAGGGCGGCCGTTGGGAGAGGACCGCTCTTTAGAAGTTTCTACTTGTCTATCTTTCGCGGTTGCTTCGGCGGCATCTGTGGCAGATTCTGTCGCGCTTTGATCCGTTGATGGACTCTGCGCAGATCAAGCGATATGGGCGTCCATGAAGCATATCGATACGACCCGTGCAGTCTGAGACTCGTTTATGCTGATGAAAAGAACGGAAAACCCACTTCGTTTTCCTTCAAGACGGGGTCGATCCGGCACTGGTGCGATCAGGCGGATGTGAAACTCGCGGAAAACTCACATGCCACCAGTTTTCGGTATGGTGTGAGTTGCCAAACGCGTTGTCTGAAAAATTTTCATTTAGAAAATATGAGCAAACACGCTGCTAAAACACGCGTTTTCGTGACTTTACGGACAACCTTACTGAAAGACTAAAATATCAGGGGGTCACGTTAGGTCCTTAGTTGCATTCTAATGGGCCTTTTGGTTTCGAAGTTATCAATCCCAACGTTTCAGGATCCCTCAAAACAGCTTCTCCGCGAGGCATTTCTAAGAGAGACCGGAAAGGAAATGTAAATCTCACTGAAATATACTATCCTCCTGCAACATAGTATTCAAGCACGTTGGCGAGGGAACCCTCCCCCCTTTTTTTTTTGTCGAGATAGCATAAGTCTGGCGAAGAATAAGTTGATAAGAAACTTAATTTGAGGTTGCTTGTCATTTTGACCCTAGAGCGAGCTAACTCAGACAGACTTAGATGCAAGGCTATTAAGCAGTCTACGACTTCCTATGATGTGCAAAAGAGCAATCGATTGCAATCTGGTTGCTATCTTGAGCGCTCCGGCGTTCCAAGTCGAGCAGTGTCTATTCAAGTATATGTAAAAGAGTGACTTCAGCTCGCTAGAGAATTCATGGCACTCACCCAGACTTGGAGACGAGAGGAAGAAGTCGGCCTATTTCGATCAGCTGGCATTGGACAGCGAGGTGGAAACACTTGTCGCTTGGGAAGAGTGCATCTTGTAATCTGAAATGGGACTCGGTGTGCGTTGATGTGGAGGGCATGCGAGTTTCATGAACTGCAGCTTAATCTATTGACTAAAAAGCGGCGTCGGCTGTCGCGGGGCTTCAGTTGCTTTACTGATCGTACGATTTTGATGGCTTCGTACGTCGTACGGATGAGGCAAGATTGCACACGTAGTAGATGCAGTCCCATCTTCGAAAGATGAACCGCAAATTGTGACACGAGCTACTTACCAGCTCTAAAGACTTGTGAGCTAATTTGAAATAAACTGATGTCCTGTTCGTCAGGTTGTGACGAATACATGTAGTCGTGAAAGTGACGACCCACGCAAGTGCACAACCGGAGCCATCGGCACTCAAAGGCGATAGGGAAATCCGGAAGCTGGTCCGGGCCAAAGCTGCATGAATCAAATGCCTGAATCGCCTGCACCTCTAGCAATCTCAGGGGAGCGTCTCTGCGAAACGCCTTGTACGACTGCGGCGCTATGCGACGACATTGACTTGTCCAGAAACGATATCGTAGATGGCTCCAACGACGGCAATATCTTTGCTCTTGGCAAGCTTTGCGACTTGCGACCCACCGCCTAACAATCGTTGGACGCCATCTTTTACGTTCTCAACAACCGCGCTCGACTCTACATTTTCGTCCCCAAGAACGGGCTTGATGACCTCTGCAATCCGGGCGACATGGTTAGCAAGCGGGGACTTGGCGGTCATTTCGCCGCTGGTCGCAGTCTCGATTGCCGCCCCAACGGCACCACACATGGTATGCCCCAAAACAATGACGAGCGGGACTTGCAGTACGGTGACGGCAAACTCGACGGAGCCGACGACAGCGTCGCCCCAAGCGACGTTACCTGCGTTGCGGATAGTGAAGAGTTGCCCCAATCCTGCGCGGAAGATGATCTCCGGTGCGACACGGGAGTCAGCGCAGGCGATGACGGCGACTTCGGGATGCTGGCCGTTGATGGCGAGGTTCTCGCGCAAGGTCGGCGAGGCGAGACGGGATTGCGGGAGCGGGGCGCCGGCGATATAGTCATTGTTGGAGGCGAGAAGCCCGGTGAGAATTTCTTGAGCGCGGGCGGAACCCTTGACAGCTAGGGTGGCGCGCGGGAGTCGGCGAGGGGAGATGGCTGGGGGGCGGGGGAGGGAAATCAGTGTTACCGGGGGGAGGAAGGCAGGCATGGTGCGCAGGGGTAGATTGTGGGAGATGTGCTAGGCGCGGGGTGAGGATCAGGCGAGGGCATGTGAGAGAAAGGTTAAGAAGGATTTAGGGTAGGTGGGGGTTTTGTTTTCCGGGACGTGGAGGATGGCGGGATGCCGGACTTGAGGGACGGCGGGAGCGCAGGGATGGATCCATGGCGATGGATTGATTGATTGTGTCAATTTGAGGGTATGAATCTTTTATGACCACTCATCAAAAAAGGGTTAAAGCTTCATCCTTTCCTCCTCCCCAGCACCCATCCAGCTGTCCGTCACTCTCTCTCAACTACATAGTTGGATACGCTGCAGCTTCATATTCGCGTGTCAACGCTCGCTTTACCATCGTTATGCATCGCAAAACAAAACAAAAATCCAACAAGCGCCCTAACATAACAAAATTCCTCACAGCACAATCGTCTTCGTCGCCAAATTGCTCTTGACTCCCTTGTGCGGCAACACAATCGACTCATTCACGAGCACCTCATCCGCCACGGAGACGTCCTCGCCGAGCACAGAATGATTGTCCACGCGTGCCCATTTCCCAATCCTCGACGCCCACCCGACAATTGACTTATTCACATAAGCATGTGCCCCTACGTGCGCCCCTTTGAGCAATGTCGCACTCTTGACGCGCGCGCCTTCCTCTATTACGCATCCTTCCCCGACGACCACGTCCGGTCCCACCACAGCCCCGCTCTTTATGATCGCCTTGGCGTGCACTAACACGTTGCCTTCGATACCCGGCCCATGGGCGAGCATCTCTCTGTTGTTAACCTCAAATGCGGCCAGACGCATCGTCTGGCCGGCGAGGTAGTCCTTGGGCTGACCGACGTCGGCCCAGAAGCCCTTGAGTTCCATCGCGTATAAAAGGCCTTCCGAGGCCATCTGAGGAAATACTTCCTTCTCAATTGAGGTAGGTCTGAGTTCGATGCGGTCAAACACGCCTGGGGTGAGATAGTAGATACCTGCGTTGATGAAGCGGGATATAAATTCCTTGGGCTTTTCCACAAAGCTCTCAATCTTGCCGTGATCATCGTACAGAATGACGCCAAACTTGGATGGGTCGTCCACGGGGGTAGCGAGCAACACTCCGCCAGCACCGGTCTCCTTCTGGAATTCGATCATCTTTTCAAAGGGGTAATCACATGAAACATCTGAATTGAGGACGAAGAAGGGCTCGCTGTCGTTGAGATACTTTTCGGCGAGCTTAATTGGACCTGCGGTGCCGAGGGGCTCAAACTCCTGTGAAGTGGTGATCTTGATACCGAGCTCCTTTTCTTGTTTTTCGAGGAAGGCCATCATCTTTTCAGGCTGGTAGTTGACAGCGAGGACAACCTCTGTCACACCGACGGCAACAAGTGCCTCGATCTGATGCAGGATCATGGGCTTGTTACAGAAGTCGACAAGGGGCTTGGGGCAGGAGAGAGTGAGAGGGCGCAGACGGGTGCCATAGCCGCCGACGAGAATTAGCGCCTTCATTGTTTCGGGCGAGCTGGAGGGGACTGGGCAAGTTGTCAAGGTTAGTCCCTCAACCCGGGAAGGGGGGACAGGGAAGTCGGAGGGTACGTGGAGGAGGTGGAGGAACAGAAAAGAAGTTTTATACCGAAACAAGGGGAGAGCAGAAACCAGATGCGAATTGCACCACTTTTCATTGCCTTACACGACCACTGTACTCAAGTTTGATAACGTCATCAAATTCCATCGCCTTTGCGACCATCCACCTCCGCCCTCATCATTCTATCTCCGCCAGCACCCGGTCCGCCTTTACAATTATATCTCCGCTAGCACCACCTCTGCCCACCTTATTCCGGGCCCTTCCCACGACCACAACCGCTCTCCACCTCCCTGCGCGTCACACCTGCTATCCCCTGGGTTTAGCCCATGGATTCTCTTTCCGCAAACCACGTCACCGCGTCCCGCACTGCCGCCTCAAATCTCGGGCCTCCCAAGGCGCCATCCAGTTTGGCAAACGGGTCCGCCGCGCGGTTGGCCATACCCATCACCACTCTTTTAAACAGCCCCCGCACACGCACATCCTTGGGCTCAGGCTCCCCTCCCGTGATCGCTAGCAACACTTTTCGGCGCGTCGCCGTTACCCACCCGAATACTGACAGTGGCCCCACAACAGCTAGACACCCCACAAAGCCCCCCAAGTCGCCCCCGTTGCTCGCCCCGGATCGCCGCGAGGATGAGTTGGCCCCTAGTGACGTCCGCTCCTCCACTACATCCAGCGAGTTGTACATCACCTCCTGTAGCTGATGCACGTCTAAGTCGCACCCAGACGACGGGAATACGCGAAGGTACAGCGGAGCATTCTAAGCACGGTGTCAGTGCCCAATGCGCAGGGCATGCCGTGCACCAGCATGGGATATGCGGAGGGCCAACGCGAGGCGACTTACGTTTGCAGCGATGACTGAGATGCAGGCCACTTGCCCTCCTGACTTGCGCGACGCGTCGCCCTTGATAGCTTGTCCACCATCTCTGCTATCTTGCATTTTGCGGGTCGTGTTCACGCGAAGGGACGTTTGCGTAGGCTTATATAGGTTAGGCTCGCTGGCGATGCGGAAGTTGAATCTGAATATATCTTGTCCTTAGACTAGATGCAGCTGCTCCTGCGTGGAGGAGAAAACGATCGCAAGATACAGGAGCTACTGGACATAACTGGTTACTGTAGGCTGTCGGCAAAAAAAAGGAACAATTGTCTTGCACGTACGGTACCCTTGTGTGGTAGCACGTGCCCCGCTTCCACACGTACGTAGTACGTAGCCGGTTTATACCATGTTTGCCAAGGTACCGCATATGGACGATGGCGCAAGCTAACCCGTCTCCCCCCTCGATGCTCCTTTTCCTTCTCCCGCAACACCGGGACGAGCGATGGGATCGGTCCGAAAGATGCCAACGGCCGTTTCCTCTCCATCAAAAATCAAAATTATCACCTCTCAAATTCCTCAACGCTCCTGCGCCTTGACATGTAATGCCGGCCACAGGTCACCTCTCCCACCAGAGAGCTAACCTGCGCCCTGCTTTTCCACCTCCCCACCGCCTTGCTATCCCTCGCCACAATGCCTTTTTCCGCACCACCACTTCCATGCTTTTCCCACTTCACTGTGTTTTTCGTTGTATTTTCCCGTTCGCCCTGCCCACAGACCTGCAGCCCGCCTCCCAACACACCACTCTGCGCTTTGCAACTCGCATCTACCTTCGTCCAGGCCCCGGCTCCGTTCGTTGGGGCGAGGCAGCTAATTTTCGTTGAAACCAAGCATAGCCTAGCAATTGCCCAATATGAAGAACGTATCCTCGCGCATTCACGTGGGGAAAGGATCCATGACACACATCGGCACCACTCCATATCGTTTCCGCATCGAGATATTCGTGTCGTACGTTGACCATGTCAAAAATGTTTCCGATGTGTGCGTCACATGGGAACGACGCGGGAACTCCGAAGCGACCAACCTCGTCAAAGTTAAGGAAAATAAGGCTGTTTTTAAGCACACCTTGTCGATGGAGTCGACCTTATTCAGAAGGGTTAACAATGCAAAAGGTGCTCCCTCGACAAACCAGGACCAACTCCAGTTTGACGAAAAGAAAGCTAAAGTAGTGCTTCGAAAAGGTTCATCCACCGGTAAGGCTATAGGAAAGATTCATCTTAACATGGCAGACTACATCAGAGGGCCAACAAGCACAGTCTTTGCCGATATGAAACTCTCAAACGGTTCAATCATTGTCACCAGAATTGAGGCTACCATGCTCCACATGGGAAAGAAGAAGAAGAACGACTCCAAGGCGGGATCAGAAGCCTGCTCAGAAATGACCGACGCGAACAGTATAGAAGATTCGCTTTTTGGTGATGATGACGCAGATCTAGGTGATATCGAGATAGAAACTACCCCGGTACCAGTAGAGGGCAAGACACCCGGCGCAGCTGTCCTGAGTCCCGTGTCTTCAGCATCTGCTTCCTCCACCACTGCTTCACTAACAACAAAAGCCTCCGGATTGGACGACCTGGTTGGCAATGGATCTATGAAGGAGGCCAGTTCCAGTCCCTCCTCTCTGAAAGGGACTTCAGGTGCTCAAGAGGACAGCTACGGACCTGCTTCCTCGTCCTCTGCAGCGCTCAGAAACAAATCTTCGCAAAGAGGCCCGAGATCTTTAAAATCTGTTAAAGGAGATGAGGAGCTCAAAGAAAGTCCCTCTCTACGTCTCAAGCTGAAGAAGAAAATGAAAACTAAGAGGAAGGAAAAGGACCCATCGAAGGGTGAAAAAGAAGCTTCTACGGGTGCCTTGCCGCCTCAGTCCCCTGAGAGGGCAGCTGAGGTTGCAGAGCTCAAGAACTTAGTCGAATCCCTAAAAAAAGAGAACGCAAAACTGAAAGCTTCAAAGCAAGCTGCGATGGATGAAATCGATGCGTTGCGTACTGACCTTGAAGCATGTGAGGCCGCACTAGAGGTCGGCAGTAGAAGTGCATCTCAACCGAGAGGAGCCCTCGAAATGTCCAAGACGCTTAAGGAAAAAGACAAGACTATAACCGCTCTTGAAGCCCAAAATGATTCTCTTCTGCAAGAACTAGAAGAACTGCATAACGAAGCAGTGCAAGGGGCGGGAGGCGTGGAGTCGGCCCAAATAACATCTCTGCAGAATAAGATTGAAGATTTAGAGATTGCACTGAGAAGAGAACCCCAGTACATGGACGTGGTGAACGAACTGAAAGTTACAAAAGTATCCCTGGCACTCGCAAACATGGAAAAAGAACAGGCTCAGTTCGCGATGCAAACTCACTGTGGACAGAAATCGATTAACAACAACTAACGGTATCAAGTAAATTACTTCGTAGTGGCGACTGAAATGGTGGCTTGAGCCCAAGGCTATCGAATTATAAACAATAGTATGACGTTGTTATGTACCTGTAAACTATTTCCTATGGAATCGTACTGTTAGTGTTTACATCATGCGAATCGCAAACTTCATTCCGCCGATCGCTAAGAGTTCTAGAGCCTCTCTTGGGGCTATGTGGGTTGCTCCTATTCTTGAAGACAGAACGCGGCTCGCCGATTCTAAGATTTGGTCCTCATCCGACTTTGCGACAGCAAGAAGGCATTTCACTACTTCTTCGTCTTCTTGTCTTGGAGGAACGGATGGCAGTAGAACCCTGGAGGAGGCGATCCGCAACAGCCTTCCACATTCAGCACACGATGGCAAAAACTGCTCTGGACTTGCTGTGACTGCGTTAAATGTTGAGACAAATGTTGTCACATCAAATGCTACTTGCTTAGCCATTCGTGCGCAAGTTGTAGCAGAGAGATATGAATTTGCTGAGGATGCTGCTGACATCGCGTTCCTGCTTGCCCCAACAAAGCACTGAAGCACGACATCATCGAATACGAATCGGTCTAATTTGCTCGCAATAGGTCGCCAAACGGTCGAAGCCGTTTTTCGGCACGGGATTCCTGTTTTCAAAGCGGTCAGAGAATTTTCAAGGGCAGTAAGTGGATTCACAAGCGACTCGGACAGGTCATGGGTCAAAACAACTGCGGCGTCTGGAGCTGAGATTTCACCAAAACGAGCCTGCTCGAGATATCCTGTCTTCACTCCATCCACAAAAACAGATGTAATTGCTTCGCAAAGCAGAGCGGAGTTCGACGAGTGGAGGCTTCTCAATCGAACAATCTCATCATTGTAGAATCCAGTTCCTGACCGTTCTTCCTGCCGCAAATAAAAGTGGTCCACGGAACGATCCTCGAGTGAATCGGATATAAGGAGCGCACAGAATGATGCTCTCGCGCTCTTTACGATGTGCTCTGTTGTCGGACATATCTCGTCCATTACCTCAATGTTTTGCTTCAAACTCGACCTCAGCGACTGTAATAGTGGAAGTTCGGTGAGCTTGAGGAACATGGCGATGCGCTCTTGGCTCTCCAAAGATCGACATTTCACGCTGGCGTTTCCGACATGATCGACGATATCCTGACAGATTTCTTCTAAATCCACCTTCGAGGAAATTGACTTTTCGTGCGCGTTCTGCTCTTCAGAGGCCAACGAATCAGGGATGCAGAGTGCTCCTGTGAGAAGCTGAGTAACCTCAGCATCCGCCAGTCGCAATTCCGAACTTGCCCATGTAGTAAGAAATGACTCGTTCATGCTCAGCACATGCAAGGACGATAAGAATATTGGTTCTCCAGAACCAGGGTCAGGTCTCGGCGCAACGTGGATGACCCCGGATCGTAGCTTATTGTCAAACTGTTTTGCAGTCTCCGAGGCATGCGCAATCAAAACGTCTGCATTGGTATCGTTAGTTGACGTTCGCAACGCCAGTTCGCAGTCGTACGCGACCTTCTCTGCAAAGACTCTGCAGAAGCCCTCGGCAAACTTGACGTCAGCGGTTTGCGGACCGCCAATGTCTATCTTGCTCAAAAATGGCGTGGCTTCACGGATGCGATCGAGCGCAAACTCTGCAGCCCATTCAGGGCGATCGAAGCGAGATATTCCGCTTGAAGTCTTCGTCGCATGCCCGTTCGGTTCTGATCGCTGGGTGTCGATGCGAAAGCTCTCCAGAAAGTGGTATTTAAAACGCGCGAGAGGCGCACGAAGGATTGCTGCGACTGCCCAAGAATCACAAAGAGCACGATGCCATCGGGTGCGCTCCTGCACATAGTCCCCATCCGACGCAACGCGCTGGAGCTGACTCAACTGCAGTACGTATGAGTTAATAGTGGCAATCAGTTGGTCATCGCTACCAGGAACTGGCACCTTCATCGGCCATCCAAACTGCCGGAACTCGTTGTCCAGCACATTGACAAATACCGCACGCGCCTTAATAACTGCATCCACAGCGCGGTTTTCTATTGACGCTATGATCCTCTGATTCGTGGTCACGTCATCTCCAAACAAATATTTGCTCCCCTTCCGCCGCACGGCGTCGACCATGCTGATCAACTTTTGCATTTTCTCCGCAATAGATTCCATCTCGACAAGACTTCCATCTCGCTGGTGCAGCGCGAGCGGGTGGAGCGCCTGGACGTAGGCGTCGGCGATGGCGCGACAAGCAGACACTGCTTTTAAGTCGGAGCGGGCGTCGGAGACCTCGCGAAATGCGGCGAGCACGTTCTCGAGGGCGCGGACCTTTTCGCCATGCTCGAACAAAGTATTTGTGGCGCGCTCTCGAATCTCTTCGAGGCGTGCACGGGCGTCTTGGACGGAGGTCTGGGCAGCTCCACGCACCGCGCTGTCCGCTTTGCCGGATGCGGTGTCGGCGCTCTCGAGCTCGGCACGGCACTGAGCGGCGATCTGCCGTATCTGGCGTAGAGAGGCCTATTAAAAGGGAAGCTGAATGTGGTCAGGTGATGTTGCTAAACGTGATGCATGCGATGGCAAAGGCACGGGAAATGAACATACCGTGTCGTGAATTTCGGATGATAGGAAGGCGGAGGCGCCGCCAGCGTCGAGGACCCGTGATGCAAGTTCCTTTTCCATTGTTTGGAGCACCATCCCCTGGTGAGAAACCATCAAGGTGCTCGTGACATTGAGAGAGCGCTCCGAGACGAAGAGGAGATGTTGACGCGGGGCTGTTTCGATGCTGTGCAGGTACAGAACAGGGCAATTAATTTTCTGTTTTTGCTTTTATTTTGGCAAGAAACAACAGAAATTGGCCCTCACCCTCTGATCAAGCGACCCATACGTCTGCGATGGCGTAGTTCGTGCTTCAATAGCCTTGGTGTCTTCACGCATTTCGCGAAGTCGTACACTTCTTTGCACTCTTCACACAAACTGACATCGCTATGGTCAGATTTACTCATAATCAGTTCTGAGGACGCTAAACACCCCCCCAGAAGTAACCTATACTTAATCCCATGTCCATTCGAATAGATTGTTGCTCCGGATTTCATACTCATCAATATCATCTGGTGTCAAATCATGATCGGAATACTTTCACCTTCTGAAGAGCCATACGGAGGAAGCTCAATTTCAAGAACTTCTGCAGCGCCCTCAGCCGCAGCTTCAGCGCTAGTTAAACATTCGTATTCACTGCAACCACCGCAGCATTCCTCAGTGAACTGAATAGCAACGGCAGGGGGCAATCCTTCTGCGACATCAACGCAGATAGAGGCACAACACTGTTTGGTGAAGGGTGTTGCTCCTTCAATTTCGAAGAACTCCCATTCTGCGCCACAGGTTTGTCTTACAGAAACCTTGAGATTCCTTTCAGACTCTCTTTTTTCTTGACTACGCAAGGGCAGCAGGTTTCTGCTGGATGCAGGAACATAATGTTTGGTTTGAACTAGGTCTTGAAAGGGAGTCTTGCGACGTGATATTGGCCAAAAGGGCCACTCTGTAGTGTTCTGAGCCGATCGTGAAATCGTGAACGTAAGATCACTATCACGCGCAATTATTGCTGAGATCGCTGCGTTGATAGCACTTTGCACTGTTTGATAGTAGAAAGATGTGTCCGGTAGATCCTTTTTAGCCATTTCAAAGGTCTTCTCTGCGTCCGCAACACTTTCCCAGTCGTATGTTATATTCCTTACATCCCCATTTGCCGAAACAACAGTTGCTGGAAGCCGTCCATCAGACGAAAAAGTAGTGATCAAGCCAATCATTTCCGATTGCGTTAGAAGCAAATTCAGCGGCGCCAAGTCTCTGCGTGTACTTGTTCCCAAATTCTGAGAAAGAGCTCCACTTTGTCTGGCGTAGTCGCGTACGAAGACTGTTGGTATCATAAGATCTGACTTCTGATTTCCAGAGCAGCGCATCCCAACATACGTGTACGCAGCCGAGTGTTTTAACAGCTGCATTGCTTTGTTAGATTCCGCGCCCACGTCAATTAGTTTCAGTACCAGAGAGAGAACATTTGCAGTCCAGTTCTGAGCGTTGATCTCAACGAACTCAGTCTTGTCGAATTTTTGTTGAAACTGGAAACAAGCTTCAGACTGATATGGTTCGATTCGCACTTCACTCTCACTCGGAAATTCGAGACGAGAAATATTGATGACTAAAGGGATGTGGCCCATAATGTAGGCTGAAGTGGATGTCCAAAAGTCTGTCGACAAATGGCCAGCGAAATTTGTAGTGGCTAGTTGTGCTTCCGTCATTAAGGGAACTTTAGCGCCCGAAGCGGCAATCGAATCGGTGATTGACGTGCTGGACAAAAGACGACCTTGCTCATCTTGAAGTTGGGAAAGATATTCATCAGGAATACATACATCTCCGAAGGGTGTTCCTACAGGGCCAGTCTCCCATGCCTTCACAGCTAGATTTGCAATGAACTCTGCAAAAAGAGATTTTGCAGTTTCTGCCAGCAGACCACGCCTCATGAAAGTGATTTGCGAATCGAATGCGCTTTTCGATGCAGTTAGAACAGTTGTGCATGCAACGTTAGCTTGCACCAGGCCCATGAACAATATAAAACTTATCCCGAAGTGTTTCAAACATTGAACACCCATGACTTGCTTGAAAGAAACTTAGAAATCTCTGGGGCTGAGTCAGTAGTTCGATTCTAAACGAAATAGGTGTAGTGTCGCACATATAATTACTCTGAAAGGAATCGAATCTAATCCGACGCAGAGTTCTTGAATGTTTATATAACAGTGTCTACTCACGACAGACAACAGACAAATGATTGCTGCGAGAGGAGGGCAATAAAAGATTTAGGGCGTGCATGGTGTTGAGTTGCTCTCCGTGACACTCAGCAAAGATTCAAGAGCTTTGCACAGAGAGAGAAGAATAAAACTGATATACCATCGCCTTAATGCTCTCCTCAGTCAGAACCCCACTCTCAACAGATTGAATCGAGTCGTTGTATTCAGTTAGTGGACTACTGGAGCTACATGTACCAGCTTCTGCACAGAGCCCCAGAGTGGCAACGGAAATTGTAGCGGTGAAGGGCCGAGGCTCCTCTGGTCGTTTTTGTCTTACGCTTTCCATGCCCTCTGTCCTTTCACGGGGATGTCGCAGTATCAACAGAATGAATATGAGGTCCTTTTGGGACAAAAATGTCGAGTTTTTTTTTTTTGATGCCCCCCAAGTTGGGGGATTCTTTCTGACTCGAAAACGCAATGCTTCAACCGGAAAAGAGATGAAAGAAGTCTTCAAAAGGGCGTAGAGCACTTGCATCTCTATGAGTCAAGAGGTTCTGAGAGGCTAGACGCCATGATGTTTCAAGAGCATGGACGGAGAAAAACAACACGCCTATAGGAGCGTTGAGATAGCACCTAGTGCCTTCCTTTTAGAGAAATGTGGGATAAAACTCGTCATGTAGAACTGAAAGAGGGGAAGACTCATATGAGTTACACAAGAGTTCGGAGCTAATGACTTTTGTGGAGAATTTCGTGGTTCAAGCCCATTGAAGGCAAAGAGACTGGACAGAATAGGCATCCTTCCTGACCATGGAAGTGTAAGCTTAAATGTTTGTTATCTTTAGTTTGGGACGAAAGCTCTCTGGAAGCCATTCCGGAATCAGAGATGGCTGGTGCACCGAGGAATATCGAACGGTGCGGAAAGGGCAAATGCAAAAAAAGCAGAGATTCGAGGCTAGTGTGAGTACATGTCCCATGCGTTTCAGTTTGAAGGAAGCAGAAGCAAGATTGACAATGTCCTTGAATCTCAGCTCATGCCTTGTGCTGGAGCAGCATTTCATTTCCACACTCTCCGCAAATTGAAACGCAAGATTAAGTATGACTGTTATTCTAGCATCAGCACTTCTGAGTTCACTTTTTGGGGATTATTGGCTGCGGTCTGCTAATCTTTTTCCTATGAATACCACATGACCACTGTTCGACAAGTTGTATTCCACTCACCCCCGTCAGGATCTCTTGAGTGGGTTATGTCAGGGACCGCTCTGTGTCATCGAGCATAATATCAGCGAGGATCAAAACATGCATGAAAGAATCTGACTCGCAGTTGGAACTTCATTGAACCCTTCGTCATTCAATGTATTCGCAAGCGCTATTTCGAAGTTAATGGGGAGAAGTTATTTGCCGAGACTAAATACGCTAAATAAGTGATGCCGAAAGTAATATAGTATTCAAGTAATTATTTTTTCATCTCTAGCCTCGAAAAAAGTTAGCCCGATGTGAGGGGCAAGCCGTAGACGAACGATTTATTCATCTACGACACGCCGCTGAAAAGCTCTTTACCGCTAGTGTCTAGACAACAAGTGACCGAGAAAGATACCCTCGCCACGATGCTTGACTTCTACGTGGGGAAGGATGATGTTTACTGACAACTGCATGTCCTTTCCGGTTCTTTTTAGAAATGCCTAACATAGAAGATTTTCGAGCGCCATTGAAACTTTTTGTATTGATACCAGCGAAACCAAAAACATCGTTTAAAAATCCAGCTCGCTGGTTAAAATTCATGGGATTCCTACTAGAGTGTTTCAGTGTAATGGAAATGTTGTTCCGATATTCTGCATGATGTTATTGCCGAGGGCAACAAGGTTCAAGAAATGATGTCCAAATTGGGGATCAAAATTAGCAATCCAATTTATATTTATTTTAATCGCTGGACGTCTACCAAGGGTACATGGAGACAATTGAGTGAGGCAAAAAGAAAAAAAAGCCGGAATGCACTCGCAATTTTACCGTATACGAGCAGCGTTGGTCCGGCTTCCAGAACAGGAGACTGCCAAAATATTTGATGTAAACCACAACGATGATACTTCCCTTGCCATACTTTGCACAGATCACCCCCGCCCCACCTACAAGCAGTCCCGACACAAAAACACCCGCGTTTGACTATAAAGGGGTCAACATCGAGCATTTCCCATTCATCTCAGGGACAGTATCGGTTCAATGCATAGCGAGTCATCGCCAGCTACTGCTGTGCGAGCAAATTCGACATCTAAAACTGGCCCGTTGACAATATAAGGGGAGTCAAACTCTGTCAGTTGCCCGGCCTTTTTTCCGGGCACTAAGAGTAGCCTAACCGTCAGCTGCTTTCCTCCCAACCTCGCCGAAAGCGCTGTCACATCTCCCACGATAGCTTTCAAAACCTCGACAGGCGTATCACCAGGCAGCGGAATTGTCTACGATATTCGGAAGGTGTTAGCACGCTACATACTGTATAACTACCTAGAACAAACAATTTCATGATTTCGCAGCGCAGAATAACTTACATCGAGCCCCGTGCCGCATACGGCCGACGTCATCAAGAGAGTACTGAGGCTGAGCTTCTCCCTGCATATGGCCAAACCATTATCTTCTGCCACGGCGAGCATGAGACCGCAGAACCCCGCCTTTGGGAACACGGCCCTATCAATAGCGGTGGCGACACTAGCCGCGGCGGTAAGTGTCCCAGACACCCCGAAAGAGTCTCGGTTCCCTCCCGCGAAGCGTGCGATAGCGGCTGCGGCACTAGTCTCCCAACCGGGCAAGGGGGCGGTAGAAAAGTCGAAGGTCACATCCGGGACGCGCTTGCAAGCTTGTCGCAGTCCGGTGGCGGCGGTTTCGATGCGGGCGGTGAGGCGTTGCAGAGGTTGCTGATGCAGCAGGGTGGCGGCTTGGATACCGAGGGCGACGCGAAAATTAGGGGCGCTGGAGTTGCTAGATGAGGAGAAGGAAGCAGGGAAGAAGGGCCCGTCCGGACGGACGTTAGCCAGGGCGGCGAAGCGAAAATTGGTAATGCCAGAGGGGTGGATGGAGGCGAGACGGCGGATGACATGTGCAGCGAGGGATACGGCGGTCGGGGACGGGACACCATTTGGGAGGGTGGTGGTGAGGGTGAGGGAGACTTTGGAGGTAGCAGCGAGGACGGAAGAGAAAAAGGAAGGGGTGAGGAAGGCGGGAGGTGCGCCGGGGAGAAGGGTTCCGAGGGAAACGAAGTCGATCGGGGAGGTGTCGAGGGCTTTGGCGGAGACGAGAGCAGCGGAGGGGTTGAGAAAGACCGCAGGGGAGGGGAGCGAGATGCGGATGGTTTGGACAGGGATGTCAGAGTCGGTGAGATCTTTGCGGAGGTCGTTGGCGAGGGCACAAGCGGCGGAGACGCGGTCGTGAAAGCGGGTGGGGTGGCAGTCGTGCTCAGTGAGGAAGACGGTTACGGTGCGGACGGTGAGTCCAGGTGGGTCAGGAGACATGGTGACGGCCATGAAGACGGGACGAAGGGGTTAGTTGAGAATTGGACTTGCCTCAAAGTGGGGGATCGCAGAAGAGGGGCGTTTAAGTAGAGCATTGAAGTGGAGCATTGAAGTGGAGCGTTAAAAGAGTAACACTGAAGTGGAGCATCAGAGCCTCAAACACAAATCTCAGGCGATCTCGTGCCGCCAACGTGTCACAAAAAAGTAGATACAGCCAACCACCGACCCGCACGTCACCCGACATTCGTTTTGGATCCCGGATCCAATTGGACTGGGGAAGTCCGGTTCAGGTGGATCAAACGAGATTCCTTCCATCATGCTTGAACGAAACCGTCAACGGAATGCGTGTGTTGACCCATCTCCGCAACGACCCAATCTCGACTCTCTATGTCTCCCGCCTTCGCCGCCCCTCCACCCCTCTTCTACCCTTCCTCGCACCTGCCACGCTCCGTCACCGCACGCCGCTCGAGCCGCATCAGTATGTCGACCCCCGCGCGGCGCGTCCTTGTCGCGATTGGCAACGGGTCGGAGGAGATCGAGACGGCATGCGTGGTCGACACTCTCCGCCGCGCCGGCGCCGACGTGACGCTCGCCTCCGTCGAGCCGTCCGTGTCGGTGACCATGTCGCGAGGCATGGTCTTCCAGGCCGACCACACCGTCTCCTCTCTGTCGCCTCCCTTCGACGCCGTCGCGCTGCCGGGTGGCATGCCGGGCGCACAGCGCCTCGCCGACTCGGCGCACTTGGCCAAGCTCGTCACGCACACGCGTGACAACGGGAAGGTCGTAGGCGCCATCTGTGCCGCCCCGGCCGTGGTGTTGGCGGGACAGGGCGTGCTGGACGGGAAGAATGCGACTTGTTATCCTGCGCCCGCGTTTAGAGACAAGATTCCCAACGTGGCCGAGGGGGACGTCGTCAGGGATGGCCAGTTGATCACGGCTACGGGGCCTGGGACGGCGCTCAAGTGGAGTTTGGAGATTGTCGAGGCACTGTACGACAAGGCTATGGCCGATAAGCTTGCAGGCGAGATGCTGGCGCCGCGTTAGTTGTGAGGTGCGATGGTGTGATCGTCATTAAGGTTGTGGACAGGCTAGACTGCCGTTTGCTTTCGAGCGCTTTAAAAGAGCGCACCATGCGCTGATGTAACTATTCCCATGCTATTCTGTCCTGCACGCACCAAAGTCGGTCCTCATTGCATCCTCATGGAAAGAGGTTGCGAAGTAGCGACACAGAGGCGAGCACTTTGAAGTCTTCATGATCCGCCTGATGTTGATGTTGTTACTGTAAGCTGTATTTATATCAATTTCCTTCACGGCTTCGATCATCGGCGGGACCAAGCGGTCTCTCTCCGACAATGCCCCCGATTGTCTTCGTTCTCCTCTTGCTCCCCTTGCTCCCCTTGCTCCGCATTCTCTACCGTCTCTACTGGCTCCTCACGCATCGTCTACCGCCAGTGCCGCTTATCAGCGACCTCCCCATCCGCGGGCGCATCCTCTGCGTCCTGGGCTCTGGCGGGCACACTGCCGAGCTTCTGTCGCTACTGGGGACGGCGCTCCCGTACTTGAACCCGCCGCCGCAGCCTCTCTACCTCTGCACGCCCTGCGACGGGGCGTCTCTCACGCGCGCGCATGCGTTCCATGACAAGCAGCCGTCGCTGAAGGGGACGCCGTTCTTGCCGGTGCTGGTGCCGCGGCCGCGGCGCGTGGGGCAGGCAGTGCTCTCGTCCGTGTGGACGTGTTTGCGCAGCTTGGCCGCCGTGTGGAAGGTCGTGGGGGAGACCAGGCCGCATGTGGTCGTGAGCAACGGGCCAGCGTTGGGGGGAGTGGCTGCGGCGGTGGTGGGGGCGAGATGGTGCCTGTGGGGGGAGAGGTGCGCTGTGATTTATGTGGAGAGTTTGGCAAGGGTGAACACGCTGAGCTTGACCGGGAAGGTGGTGTACTGGGTGGCGGATCGGTTCGTCGTGCAGTGGGAGCAGCTTCGGGAGAGGTATCCGAGGGCGCTCTGGTATGGGAGGTTGAGTTAGGCGGTGCGCGGTGGAGTTTATTGGATTGGGAAAGCGTACAAGAGGTAAAGAGCTAGCCGAGAAAATTGAGGACGGCCATGTGCAGAATAAAGTTACAAAAGAGCCAGTCGGCGACGGCTCTCTTCTTGGACAAGCCCTGCCAGCGGTTGTTGGGGTCCTTGAGGTTGCGCTCGGAGAGCTGCATGCGCAGCGACACGGTGAGCACGAAGACGCCGACGCAGGAGAGGAAGCCCGCCAGGAAGGAGTTGAACGGGAACGAACCCACGGACATGGCGTAGATCAACTGGATGATGCCCGTGGCAAGGACGTAGCAAAGGAAGGCGTCGATGACTTGCAGGGAGGCGGGAACGTTGAGACGGTAGGCGTGGAAGACGTCGTGGACGATCGAGCCACTGCTCGATTGGGTCTGCGTGTGCAGGGGGGACGGGGACGACATGGTTGTCGTCTTCTTTGGCGTGGCCGGCGATTCTGTGCGTTTCCCCGGGCGTCGGGTTGCTTGAGAAAGGTACGAGCCGTCGGGGATGACCGCGGGACTATTGCCACAACCAGCAACACAAGACAGCGCGCCGAGTCGATCGACGCGCAATCGAAAACCCCCTCTGTAAGTGCACGCTTGTCCTCTCCTGAATGGATGAAAGTAGCCAATGAAAACACCGAATACAACGCCCCAGAATTGGGACTGTAATGCACGAGTGGACCATCGGCAGCAGTCGTGCACCAGCCAATCTCGCCCATCGACATCCCCCCGTACCAATATCCCCCGTACCCTCACCGCCCCGTCTCCCTGCCTCTCCGCTCCCCGCCTCTCCGCTCCCCACCGCGCCCTTGTTCACGATGGCGTCGCGCGTCCCGACCGTAGCCCCCTCGCTCGTCTCGCGCGCACTGAGCAGTGGCGCCGGCGCCGCGGCGGTGCGCACGCGGATGCCGATCGCGGGCGCCCGCGTGGACACCGGCATGTACACGGACACAGGCGGCAGCGGCGCCGACTCGACCGCCCTCTCGGCCTCGCTGGAGGAGGCGTCCGCGAAGGCCGTGGCCGTCTACCGCACGGCGCTGCGCGACGTGCCCGCCATGCGTGTCAACTTCACCATCATCGAGGACAAGGCGTTCTTGTACGCGTGCATCCGCGACTTGTTCGAGCGCCACCACGAGGTCACCGATCCCAAGATCGTCGACATGCTCGTGTTCAAGGGGAGGCAGGAGCTGCGCGAAATTCGCGAGCAGTGGAAGAGTAGGCATCACGTGTATGGGCATATCCATGCGTATATGGACAAGATGATTAGGGAGGAGGCGTCGAGGAGAGCGGCGGAGCAGACCGGCGGCGCTGAAGAGAAGAGGTTGGAGACGCTGAGAGCTTGGAAAACGAGGGGACTAGTGCCGCAGGAGGTGCAATCCTGGGGGCAGTATCTCAGGTGGAAGGAGGAGGAGGACCTCAAGTTCAACGCTTTCGCCGTTGACAATAAGCTCTTCACGCATGATCAATTGGAGAGGAATGCCAAGGCGCAGTCGTCGTCATGTACTATTATGTAGGAGATAGGCGTGTGGATTTTGCTTTTCTCACATTTTGGTAAAAACGACGAGTCTGTTGAATCGCACTGCGGAATGAATTTCCCGTCACCTTGCATTCACCATAATCATGTTCATAGTCGTGTATTTATCAACTTAAGCATGTTGTCACGAAGAAAAATAGGCCACCAGCGCCAGTACAAAGCGGCCCCACACATGTCCACCTGATCAAAAAGTCACTGTCCAACAAACTACATAAACGTCCGCTAGCCGTAACAACTCACCTCGCGCACCGCCTGGTCGCCCAGCTCTTACTACATGCGCAACAATAAACTGTGGTGCTAGAGCCTCGGCTGCAGGCGATGGCGAGCGTGTTCTCATTCGAGCAGCGCAAGCGCTTCCTCCCTCTCCGCGTACAACTCCTCGGCCGTGGCATCGATGTACCTCTTCGAAAATTCGTCAATCTCAATGCCCTTAACAATCTCCACGACGCCGTCACCCATGCATCGCACCGGAAACGAAAAGAAGACGCCCTCCTTAATCCCATACGACCCGTCCGAAGGCACAGCCATGCTGACGATGTGTTCGTCGCCGCACACCCACGAGCGCAAGTGGTTCGCAATGGCTCTGGCCGCGGACAGAGCCGAGGAGAAGCCGCGGGCCTTGATAACGGCGGCGCCCCTTTTCTGAATCGTCGGAATGAAATCTCTGGCGACGATCTCGAAGCCACCCAGCTTGTCAAAAACGGGCACGTTGTCCACCGTGGCGCGCGTGATGTCAGGATACTGCGTTGACGAGTGGTTGCCCCAAATGCAGACGCCGGCGACGCTCTGGACCGGGACGTCAAGGCGTGCGGCGACCTGGGCCATGGTGCGGTTGTGGTCGAGGCGGGTGAGGGCGGAGATGTTTGCGCGCGGGATGTCCGGCGCGAAGGCGGCGAGGACCATGGCGTTGGTGTTTGCAGGGTTGCCAACGACGACGACCTTGACGTGCTTGGAGGCGTGCTCGTTGAGCGCGTGTGCCTGGCGCTCGAAGATGGGCAGGTTCTTCTCGAGAAGGTCCTTGCGCTCCATGCCGGCGCGGCGGGGGAAAGCGCCGACGAGCACGGCGATGTCGGCGTCAGCGAAGGCGACCGACGGGTCTGCCGTTTGCGTGACTGAGTGCAGAAGCGGGAAGGCGCCGTCCAGCAGCTCCATGACGACGCCGGCGAGGGCGGGGAGGGCCGGCGGAATTTCGAGCAGGTGCAGCGTGACCGGTTGTTCTGGACCGAACACGCTGCCTGCCGCGAGCATAGAGAGCAGGCTGTAAGAGATTTGGCCGGCGGCTCCGGTAACGCAGACGGTAATTGGGGAAACTGTCATTGCGGAGGAGGGGATGGTGGGAGGGGGGTAGAGGCTGGAAGGGGGAGTGGGAGAAGCGGGAGCAGCGGGAGCAGCGGGAAGGAAGAGTGAGTAGGGGGAGGAAGGTGTGAGACGAGAAGGGCGTGTATTCCATGTGCTGAGGAGGACGTGAAGCAGTGGGTGGGGAGGGACAGAGGTGGGACATGTCTGCGATGAAAGCGCCGCCTCACAGGGCCAATAAGGGGAGGTGCAGCTCGCGTGGACCACTCGCAGCACAGAGTGCAAACGCGCCAGTGCAAATTTGCCGCTCGTTGGATTACTGCTTCCGCTCTCTACGCACACCATTCGCGCCCTCTCGTTCCTGGCTACCCCGCGCCCTGGCTACCGTCCATCTCACCCTTACGCCGGCGGGGGAGGAGGCGGCGGAGGCGGCGGAGGCGGCGGCGGTAGGTGTGACGGAGGAGGAGGCGGCGGCGGGGGAGGCGGTGGCGGTGAAGAAGGAGGTGGAGGCGGCGGCGGAGGAAGCCCGCCCGGGGGACCCACCGCAGACATCATCCCCCCGTACCCGTGCACCCCGCCACGCCCCTGACCCCGCCCACCATACCCACCAATCCCAACCGGCTGCAGAGGCACGTTGGCCAACCACTTCCTCGTCGCCATTCCCCCGTTCCCCCTCCCCCTTGCTATCCCCCTCCCGCACGCCCTCACATACTCCCTGTACCCTACTTGCACCGTGCGCACCAGCGACACCACCAGCGCCTTTGCGTATCCCAGCGCCGCAACAGTAGGCGCCCGGATCGCAAAGTGCAAGTTTTCCCTCCCCTCGTCCCCGCTGCCCCTCCCCCCCAGCGTCACCTTTGCGCCGCTCTCGCGCTCGACAAAGCGCACGTACTCATCCCCGGGCCCGCGCAACCGCTCGATGACGCCGAAGCCGCGCGCGCCCGCCGGGTCCATGTCGCACCACACGCGCTCCACCTCGCCTCGCCCGCCGCTGCCGCCTCGCTGCGTCATGATCCCCTCCAGCATTCCCAGCGCCTCGGTCACGGCCGCCTCGCTCGTCCCCTTGATTTTGAGAAACAGCTTGCGCTCCGCGTCCGACGCCGCCGCCGGCGCAGATGTCCCCGCCGGGTAGTACCGCCCCTTGGACACGATCACCACCCCCGTCCGCGACTCCACCGCCTTCAGGTTGGCCGACATCATCGCGAAACGGCGCCCCGCGTGATCGTTGATCTCGAACTCCCGCACCGTGCCTTGCCCCGCCCCACCCTCGCTGCCGGATCCCCCGGCCACGCGTGCGGATAGACTGGCCGCAGCCGCGGCCGCGGCCGCGGCCGCGTCGGAAGAGCCAGACGCGCTCGCGTTTGCGTCGCCGGCTGGCGCGTCCCAGCGCCGACGCCGCCCCGCCCGCCGCGCGTCACCTTCACCGTCGGGTGCTGTCATTTGCGAGCCGTGGATCGGAGAAGGGTGAAGATCTTTGCCGCTTGCTTCTCTCGGCCTGTATGGCGGCGGCTGAGAATTGCAGGTTGTCGGTGAAAATGGGTTTTCGACTCACAGTTGCCACCGCGGCGGTTCAAAAGATTAATAATCTCTAGAATTATTTTGTCATATCTTCGGGAAGGCCACCGGGCTCCCCGGATCTGCCTTGCCCACTAAAGCCTCCCTCGCGCCTCTACTTCCGGGCGGTGAACGTCGATCCTAAGTGCTTCGAAGAGTCAACCGTGGCATTGCACTTGGCCGACTGTACCTGGATGGTGCGTATGGAATCGAATGGATGGAATCGAATGAATCCCACGCACATGTTGCAACTACAAGCAAAATGTGTCTTTCACCTTTCACCTTTCACCTTTCCCCCATCACTTTCTCGCCGAGACGCTCGGCTTTCATTCCTTTAAGGACCGCAATCTCAGAGGTATTATTCCTTCACTTCGCCGTGACTTTTGAAAATGTCTACAATGTAATTCAGGGCGCTTTGAAATCTTCAATATCCACACAGACTGCGTTCCCTCCGATTCGTACTACTGCCTGCAATGCTGCTTTAAACGAAATTACACGCAGGCACTAAGACTGATTGTCAAGTTAATAGGCGTTTCCTTCCATCCAACTCAACATTACATTGGGAGTAGCCGAAAGTTCTGTTGTTCTGTTTCGCGGCTATCGATAGGGACTGGTGGATCTGTCTACCAAAGTTATTCTGTCCGGACAAAATATTATTTCAACTGACACCCGGAAATCAGTCATCATCACCCTTCAATCCTACACGTGCCGTACTGCTCTTCGCGATCAATGAGCAGTTCGCTCCATTTTGCCTTGGAACTTTCTTCCATGCCATTCATTGTCCAGTTTGGCGTCATGGAGTCATCCACTCATTGATAACAACAAATCCCTCCCCAGATTATTCGACGAGGCACCCGATCCACATTGATTGATCAGATTATTAGTGAGGACCCAAGAGAGTCCTTGCACGTGCACACAAGGATAACTAAAGGTGTCTGCTCCTTCCCGGGGACAAAAAGGTGAAGGTGCAGGAGAAGTATCAATATGCCATCCCTTCGTTCATCTGATACAGTTGTATCACCAACCTAGAACCGGGAAATCAATCACTTTCATCAGGTGCCATAGCGGTTAGTACTGTATTAACATGAGAATGGCATTTCAAGGTGTTTATTAAACAAACAAACAGTCCGTCTTCGGAGGGCTTCAAACAGAAAAAGCGTTACTGTTCGTAACTTGACCTGCTTGAAGGCATATAAAATATTTATCATGCACGAATGCTTCTCGCACCTAACGGATTAGTCATCGCAAACAAAGACTCCGCACAATATTTCACAATTGGCAGTATTGTACAGGCTGCCCCTATTACATCGCTTCTTCTAAATGTAACCATACTTACGAAACTGTAAACTCTCCTCGACGAGTGAGTCACGTCTGGGGAAGCGAAAGGGTAAAAGGGTGCACATGGTTTCTATCAATCAGTCTCTACAACATGGGAAACCTCAAGCGTGCCGAGCTCTGATTCACAAGGCTATAATCTTCAGATTACATGAAGGAAATAATGAGTTCGGAGTAGAGCGACCGTGCTTGGTAAGTTTGAGGTTCTAATCAACTGCGTTTGAGGAATCCTCACTCTGCAATAAGTTACAAGCCCTCACGGAAATGGAAAAGCACTGAAGAAACCTCCGCACCCACTTGCGGAGAAGTCCCTTTCTTTTTTCCGTTTATACTTTCAGTTCTGTTCATATCCTCCTGTAAGACTGCTGCCGGTGTTGCATCAAAAAGTTATATCAAACGCATTTTATGAAGGAAAGCTGAGCGTTTTGGACTTCGAAACGAACTGGGCGACGTATATTGCTTTCCTCTTGTTGCGTTTGTCATCTCCATGGATTTTACAGAAGCATGTTGTGCGACAGGATTTAACGCTGCAGAAAACATCAACACGGGACTATGTAAAGTTTTCGAAGGGCTGGTCGTCCGGAACATTATTCCTTTGAACTTGGGGGCAGCGTCTGACTTTATTCCTGTTTGAATAAAAGCTTAAAAGCTAAGCTACGAGGTTCAGTGCTTCAAGGGACGAGCACGACGAGGGCCAAAGGTTTTCATAACCCATCTCCACCCTCAATAATGTTTTGCATCCTCTTGACAAGATACAGTATTAGTGCGTTTTAAAACACGCAAGATCATCCACCGTATGTGGATCGCAACCTTTTTGGCGTACACATTTCTTTCCTCAATATTATTATTTGCATTTTATGGCTCAGGCAACCGCCCCTATGGCGCGAATGGGACAAGCACATTCTGTTCACTCTTGCGCGTCGTGCGTTCAGCCTTCAATAAGTATCTTCCATGCATGAACACGAGATAGTGCCAGTGCACAGTGCAACCAACCACATTGTAACAGGCGGGGGCGGACGCCCTCTCCAGGTCATGATGAATCACGATTTAGAGAACAAAGAAACGCAGTGAGGCACGCGCACCATTTCGGACAGAACCCTCGATATTACATACTGTATGGCGCACTTGACGCAAATCAATAGCAACCTTGTCTTCCACTGAAGTTCACATACATGCGATTGACGGCAATCAGCGTCAAGCATGCCTTCTAGAGTACATACAGCAAGGAGGTAAGTAGCAATGGAGTGCAGCGCAGTTCTCTTCGAGAATTCAAAGCACTCCAGTCGCGAAGCGCGCGGTGTGCAATATGTTTGATGAATTGTCGGACATCTTCACACTAGAGGACTCTTTCTAAAGAACCACCGTTTCGCAGCCCTTCACGGTCATGCGCATGGGCAGAATGCATGGTTGCGGTGGGAGCGAAAATCTCAGCGGCCGTGTACGAGCACGCTTCTTCGCACAATTGCAAGTGCTTCGAGAGATGAATGGGTAACGACAGGGTGATACGGGACAGGCAGTTGAGTTGTTGGGTCGGAACGGATTGGAGGAAGGGATACTCATACTCACACTGTCACAGAAAATGTAAACGCTTTATACCGTGTGTGATACAACCGCGGAATGGCCGACAGATGTGAAGCCAAGGCGAATGGCTGTGTGCAGAGCTTCTCACTTCGCGGATGGCATGGGTACCCTTCGAAGGGTACGGAGAGGGGGGTCTGCACGCCGATGGGGTATCGGCGCGCCGAGATGAAGGCAAGGGTGAGGAGCAGGAGATACTGTAAATGGTCCGTTTGAGGATAGGAGAAACGGCCAGTTCCAGGAAGAGAGAAGCTACTGGACACTTCTCTGAGTGCTGAATAAGACAGTGTGGAATATTTCATTTACAGAAGGCGCTGAAAAATATCAGAAATAGACGACGCGGAACGCATTCGAGAGCGCAATAAGACATAAAGTTTCTTTTTATGCGTCCCATGCACTATCGACCGTGACACGTGTGCTGTCCGGCTGAGGACTCACTGGAGACAAAAGCTTGTCGAGGGCAAATGGTCAACTACCTGCAACGTACCGTATGGCATGTGATGGATGGCGGCTGCCAGTCCACGCAGCGACATGCGAGTTGGTGGAAGCAAGCAGCGGGGCGGGTGAGTTTGGAGAGGCAGTTGGATGCAAGTGTGAAAATTGTTCGCGTCAAAGCAACCAACGAGCGCCTGAGGAATAAATCCATGGCCGGTGAATGGAGAGCTCTTCTGAGCGGAGGTGCTGCGCTCGCGCCGCGAACAAATCATCTAAACGCTTGCGCGCACCCACAAGACGCGACCAAGCGCGCTCAACAACGGACGCTTCCCCGCGCTGGGTGGACACGCCAACGATCCTTCCCGTACGGTATATGAAGCAGGTGTAAATGCCCGCTGCAGCCGAAGAGGCGACTATAAATAAACCCGCTGGCGTCGCAAGGCCTTGGAACAAAACTGATATCCACTACACACTCTTACACACTCTTAATCTCTATCCTACCCACCCCCATCTCCCCCGTCGAGCCTCTACTGAGCGCAGAGCTCGAAGATGTACTCGTCGACTCGCGCTGCGGCAAGCCACTCGCTTGCCGTCCTCCGTGGATGCGTGTCAACGCCGCTGCCCTTTCCCCGCGCCCGCCAAGCCCACTCACAGCCCAGCGCGGCCGCGGCGGCGCGCTACGGGCACACATGCACGTGCACATGCGACGCGCCCGCCTCACTGGCGAGATCCTCTCCCGCCGGCGGCGGGGGGGCCGATAAAGTTAGGAACCGCGCCGGTGGAACGCCCGCTGAAGGGCGCGCCTTGCACCGCTCACTAATCGTGACACCTTGCACGAGGTCTCCTCCTCCATCGTTGCCACGCCGTATTTTGCGCCAAGAACAACGTGCCGCCCCGCCCCGCCCCCGGCATATGACTCAGTCAACGCGCGTACAGACAGACATCCTGCGCTCACTGGAACTGGAATCGTTTCCAATGCGCCATCACATGCGCCCCCCTCTCGTGACACGCTCCTACCTCGTCCCCCGCCTTTGATGCGAGACGCCCACCTTCGCCCTCTCAGATTGCTGTCCTTACTACTGCTGATGTGGCTAGCAATGCCCACGCTTAGTTGCTCCCTTCCTTCGTAGACGGCTTCTAGCTGCTGTGTGTTGCATGTAATCGGCCCAGCTGAGCGGTGCGCGTTCCACCGGGCCCAAACGCACGCCACTGCATGGCACTAACGCGCGTGGCTGCGCTGTCCTGGCGTGTTCAACAGTGATCGCGTCGGAAGAGGACCAAAATTGTACAGGCGAGATTAGGGTTGCGATACATTGTTGTTTTTTCCAGCTCAGAGCCCATTGCTCTTCCACATTCTCTGCCCAAACGTATTGCCGCGTAACTGCCTGCGTGCGAAAACTGTTACGGAGCACTGCCATTTGGCCTCATGGATTCTTTCGGAAGGCTGCCGTAGAGTTCTACGTTGGGGGCGTGTGCCGTTGCTGAACAAGAAGGTAGCGGGTCAACAATGCATTCTAAACCATTCCTTTTGCTCCGACGGGAGTAGGGTCCATTGTGCAGCCTTCCCTTCTCACAGAAGAAGTCGCAAAATGTGCCTTGCTGAATTGAATCTCTACTCATGGTTACATGAGCATTGCTAACAAACCTCTGCATGCGATGCCCTGCCGCGAGAGTGTAGCTTAGTGTCTTTTGAACCAGTATGCGGTGTTCGAACGAGTGGAGGAGTGAAGTTGAGCACGAATGAATCAACAGCACATGTCACTGCAACAAGCCTGCCCTCGACCGGCAGAGTTTCGAGGGAATGGCTTTCCACAGCAGTGCCTATCTAAACAGAGTTCTGATCCAAGTCTACTGTAGCTACGCCTTTTCACATGCCCAAAGTTCTCACAATCTCACCACCGGAACTTTGTTTATTCTTCTCTTCTCGAGAGAAATATACTGTACCGTACTGTATACAGTATTGATACCCACACACGGCGGTCGAAATCTCCAACTCTACCCTTGAAGGGTAGTCGTCGTTTCAATATTTTGTCCGAGCTCGGCAATGCGGAATTACACAGCCGCCGGAAAATCTCCCTCTACCAAGGGTAGTTCGTAGACTTTGATAGGGAATCGGCTTTCAAATACATATGAATAAGGTTCCAACTCGGAGCGGTGGTTGAGTGAATCATAAGTATTGTTTCCTTGAAGCGCATAGGTCTAGGCTGTATTTGCAGGCTGTCATGAGAAATGCTATACGCCAATGGCGACAGGACAGCATCTGCCTGCTGCATGAAGACTCATGCAAAAGGTACGCACACGCGCCAAGAGCTTGGGATTCCAACGTCGAAATGCTTTCATGATATTAATATCGCCCGGCTCTTTTGTGCTGAGCTGTGTGAGCGTGGAATCGTCTTCTCCTATTGCCCCCAACAACAGCAGCTGATTTATGATCTCTTTGCCATGTTGCTCGTGCGGCACAAAAAAGGCGTATGCATGCATTATGAAAGGAATTTGAGCAAGTATTTGCGAGATTCTGAGATGTGTTTTGTGACCTTGCCAATTTTAGTGACCACCGCAAAAAAAAAAAGAAGAAAAAAAAAAAAAAAACTGCGTGTCTGTTAACTCTGCCCGTTTTACAGCATGTGTTCAGGGTGCAACAGTGCCACAAGAGGCGCGCCTTAGCATTTATAATCCCGCCCATTGTACCTTTCCGACGTTGTAAGTACAAGGGCTTGAAGAATCTATCGTTCAGTTGAGCTATACTTGTATTATATTATTATCCTATTTGTTGACTTCTCCTTCCGCCCTCGCAAGACCCATTGAGAAAACAATGCTGGGGAGGCGACGTATACGTCCACAAAGAAAAGGACACCAGCACCGCATATAGCTAGTGTCATTCTGATTAAAAACGGAAAGAATACCTTTAAAAATCCAACTTTGATATCCTTGCATGCAAGAATATAGGATGCATTAAACATTGAACGAAGAGGGGATTATCTTAAGATCAAAGCCGTCTGAAGGGTAGAAAACCCGTCTCTGATACAGTTCTTCTCAACTTTTTCGGGCGTTGATCCATACGTTTCGAAGCTCGCAGAGGATTTTGTTTACTTTCACCGTTATCAAACCGTTCGCGACCGCCTCTTCTGTTACGGGCCTTCTTTGTTCCTCTTCGCGCACTGCGTCCTATCACGCGTTTTGAAGTAGAAACTTCTGGTTCTGGACGGCAGATCCCATCTTCCATTCTTCACAGTGCACTCATGGCGGCAGCAGTCGGCTCATCTTCTACGGACGTACATACTCTTCACTACAGGGAAAAGGAACTTTCTCGGATGCAAAGTTTGGAAGATGCCTCTCAAGATGGTGATCCGCGCGCAATGTGTCAATTGGCGGGCCTTCTCATGGATGGGACAGACAACATAGACTCTGACCCACAAAGAGCTATTGAGTTGTACGAAAAGGCCATCAAGCAAGGATCTCTTGAAGCTCAATACAGCCTTGCTTGTGTACTGGAGGAAGGGCTTCCTGGCGTAAATCGAGATATTCCCCGTGCGGTCGGGCTGTACGAAAACGGCATTAAGGCCGAGGACATGCATGCCATGCACGGGCTCGCCCTTCTGCTCGAAGACGGAGATGACGGGATAGAAGCTGACCCACAACGGGCCGTACAACTACTTGAGGCTGCACATGACCGAGGTCACCCAGACGCTGTGTTCACCTTAGCTGCAATTTTGAAACGAGGGGCGGATAGAGTCGAAAAAGACATGAATAAGGTCATCGCAATCCTCGAAAGCGCAGCTCAAGCAGGAAGTTCAGCAGCTATGAATGAACTAGGCACAATCTACGAAATCGGAGACGAAGATGAAGAAATCGAGCCTGATCCGCCGCGAGCTGTTGAAATGTACGAGCGTGCGGTGGACGCCGGTAATTCCACAGCCATGTGCAACCTTGGTCGCCTGTTGCGAGATGGAGCTCCTGGAGTCCCAATGGACACCGTCGCAGCAGTGTCGCTCTATGAAACGGCAATAGGACGTGGGGAAAATGAAGCGCTTGGTACGCTGGCCACGATGATGCAGGACGGGGTCGGTGATCTGCCAGCAAATCCCGTGAGAGCTGTCGAGTTGTACGAACAAGCTATTGCGCGTGGTGTGAACGAATCTTTACATGATTTGGCGTGTCTATTAGAAGAAGGGCGGGACGACGAGTTGCCAGCGGACGCGCCACGCGCTGTAAAACTGTACGAACGTTCGATTCAGATGGGAGATACGTACTCTGTGTATCGATTAGCCATCTTATACCTCAAAGGAGCGCCAGGTGTGCCCAAGAATCATGAGCGTGCCGCAGACCTGTTCGAAGAAGCAATCGTGGCCCAACATGGAGCAGCTATGTATGACTATGGATGCCTTTTGGAACAGGGAACGGATGTCATTAAGGCAGATATGAGCAAAGCTATAGATTTGTACAGGCAAGCTGCGGAGCAAAGGCACCCGAGCTCGTTATTGAGATGGGCACGCATTAAGCTAATGGGGGAACATGGAGTCGAAGCGGATCGTGAAGAGGCGCTTGAGTTGTACAATTTTGCCGTGGAGATGAATTCAACAGATGCGATGTGCAAACTAGGAGACTTATTCCTATCCGGTGAGGGTGGAGTAGAAAAGGACCCGGGGCAGGCGCACCTGCTGTTCGAGCAAGCGATTGAGCTTGGTGATATTGACGCATACAACCGGCTGGGTATGCTTTTGGAGAAAGGCGTGGCGGGTGTGCCTGCTGACGCTCCACGGGCGTGCTGGCTTTACGAACAAGCAGTGGACATGGGCAATGAAGAGGCTCTGTATCTTCTCGCCGAGCTCCTCGAAAAGGGGGCAGAGGGAGTTGAAAAGGATCCTACGAGGGCGCAACAGCTGCGGGAGGATGCGGAGATGAGAGCATAGTAATTTTTTTTGCCACCTGCGAGAGACACGAATAAACAATGAGGATTTGCAGCTTCTCTGTAGATTGTTGTCGTGGTTGAAGTGGGGCGAGAGTTTTTGTGGTGATGAAGGTCAAACTTGTGGCTGTTGTTGCTTGGAATACACAGAAAAACAATGAGATCGAGTTGCATCAGACATGTACTGTTATCGCAGCCGCGTCTCCCATGTTGGAGGGGGCTACAAGATGCTGGTGGAATCCCTACTCTACGAAGTCGTGAATGAGCACGCTGTGCTCCGGGCGACGCAGTCGTCCCGTCTCTCTCTCTGTGTACTTCGATGCTCTCCTTCGCTTAGCTACCTACAGTCTGCTTGCTTATGTAGTGTCACCGCGTTGCTCGCTACCCGCTAGTGTTGCTCACATCTCTAACCGTTACTGACAGTACTTGCTTGCTGAACTAAAAGCTAACGGTCGCTTAATGCTAAGGCGCTGAGTGTAGCTCCTGCCCGATGCTTCAAAGTCTCTGACTTCGTCCCTCTTCTGCTTTGCATTGCTTTGCGGTACCGTGCCCGTGCGTTATCCGTGTCCGTGGCAATCGATGCTCGCGGAAATCTATGCATTGTGTCCGACGTGTAATCGGTGGCATTCACACTTGTCACAACTGTATGTAAGTATGACAGTATGGGATGAATCAGTGCACGTGTTCGAAGAGAGGGTTGGTCTCACAGACGGCGTTTTGTAGGCGTTTGGGTGATTGGAGAAAGGGGAGGGCGTGCTGTACGCTGTACAGTGTACAGCGACCTTGTACTTGATATCATTGATGCATCAATAGAGAGTTTACGCAGTGGGGGACTGGTTCAAGGCTTGAACCAGTCCACTGCGCAAACTCTCTATTATACTTTACGCAGTGGACTGGTAACTCTCTATTATACTTGAACTTCAAGGAGAGTTGAGGTGCAACATTGGGCAACAATGCACCATAGCCTCCACCAGCACTGGCGCCAGCCTCCACCAGCACTGGCGCCAGCCTCCACCAGCACTGGCGCCAGCCTCCCACCCTAAACCCAGGACAACAATTATTTAATCGGATAATTTATGGCACTAAATTCATCACCCTTGTACTTGTACGACCTTGCACAACGTCAACATATCAGATTTGAATTCCTTGACAAGCCCAACAAGTCAACCTACAAGTAGTCAAGGGTCAACTGCAGTAGAGTATGTACCCTTCGAAGGGTACAGCACTTCTCAAACATATGATCGAATTGAGATCTGTAGAGTGCTTCAATGCGTACCTTCAGAACACGATTCTGCAAACGCCTTGGGGGCGATGTGTCCTTCACACTGGGACGAGGTCAGCAGCAGCGCAAAACTCAGTTGCGGTGCTGGGAGTGCTGTGCTGTAACCTCGTTATCCTATCTGCATACTGTACGGCAAATACAAAATACAAGCACAGAATAAGCATGTCTACAGCGCATTTTGCACCTTCATCGCAGGGCCCCAGGTGTCAGGTCAACTTTCAAGTCACGAGAGACGTCTCCTTCTCAAGAATACGTCTGAACTCTTCAATTGCGCACTGTTTTTAAGCTCACCGGACTGGAGTATTAATCCGACGACAGGATTCGCCAAGTGATGGTGACAGAGGTGTCACTTTCAGGCGGTTGTGGATGGGCGACGTCGCCCAGATGTTTGTAAAGGCGTTGGAGGGAGGGGGGGTTGGACAGGAGCGAGTGCTTGGGGGGGATGTCGAAGCATTTGCAGTCGATGTTGAGATATTGGAGTTGGAGGGAGGGGGAGAGAAGTCAAGCACTGTGTACAAGTCGGAAGATGGGGGAGTAATTAGCAACGAGTGTTTAGGAATGGCTTGGAGCAACTACTTTTGAAGGATAGCAGTTGCATAACATGCCAGCTGATCTCATTTCTAATTACAGTTGGGTGTTGGCGCCAAAACGAGGCTGAGAGTGAGCCAGTACAACATTTTGCCGCGAAAACGGATGCATCCGTAACCGAAACCGAAACCGAAACCGGTACCCACCCCCTCTCCCCGTTTCCGCCCCCCGCTAAACAATCCCATCAACAATAGCCTCCATCGTCCCATTCCCTTTCCCCCACCCTCGCCTCACCCCTTCCTCCCTCACCATTCACCCCTCCATCCCCACGCCCTCGTCCTCCACTACTATGCGTCGCAGCACGCGCACCCAGGCCTCCGCCAAGGCTTCCGCGCTGGCCGACCTTGCCGCGCGCAAGGCTTCGGGCGTGTCGCGTGTTGCCGACTACCAGCTGCACGAGGAGGCCGACGTGTACGAGTGCGTCGACGAGCAGACGTACGCTGCCATCGCCGCCCGCAAGCGCAAAGAGGCCCGCGACTTCATCGACGCTGACATTGATCCGGACCTCGACGATGACGACCGCGCGGCCTACGGCATGGAGCGCGAGTTTGAGCTCGAGGACGAGCTCTCCGTCGTTAAAGCCGGCCTGCGCGAGGGCCGGAAGAGGAAGAGAAATCCCGCCGGCCCAGTCCGCCACAAGAAGCAGCCCGCCCAGAGAGTGTCCTCCGCCTTCTTCACCGCGTTTCAGTCTGCGCCCCCCGCCGCCCAGCGCGAGGGGGACGAGCAGGCGAACAACGTCCTGGACTTGGATATGCTCGATGCCGACTTCGACTCCCATATGAAGCAGTCGCGCGCCGCCCGGAGGAAGAAGAAGACCGCAGTCCAGCGCGCTATCGGCGACATGTTGTTTGACACGCCTGCTGAACCGGCCCCACATCCCATTCTGCAAGCGGACTCTCCTCGGGACGACTATGCTGCTCCGCCCCCGTCGCTCACCAAGCCTGCCGTAGAGCCTGTCATACAGGTAGAGCCCAACCCGGTCCAGACGGCTTACCTCGAGGACTCACTCGACGCTGACATGCTCGTCGCTGCTGCCGACGCGGCCGTCAAACAGCGCATGGCCGCCCCGAAGCCCCCCGTTGCGCCTAAACGCGTGCCAGCCGCCACTTTCGCAGAGAGGTCTGCGGCTCGCATTGCGTCGGCTGTTGCGCCCGCTCCTGTTGCGCCGAACGCCCCGCTCGCGCGGGGACCAGACGGCGAGGTCATCATGTTCTGGACGGATGCCCATGAGATGCGTGTCAACGGCGGCCAGCACCTGTACATGTTTGGGAAGGTACCTGTCGGGACCCTGGACAGTGGCGTCTACGCGAGCGTCTGCGTCCAAGTGCAGGGTATGGAACGGAAGCTGTATGTGCTCCCGAGGATGCACAAAGTGGATGCGCGCGGTCGACCTACGAAGGAGCCGGTCAAGATTGTCCCGGATGTGCATGCAGAGATTAGCGCCATATTGCTCGGGAAGAGCTCAGGCGATGGCAAAGGGTTTGCAGCGAGGCGGTCTGGATCCAATCTGCCGTCCACTATCATGGCGAAAAAGGTCATGCGATCATGTCCGTTCGGCGATACGCACGCTCCGCGAGAAGCTACAGAGTATCTCAAAGTCAAGATTCCATTTTCAAATACGAGCAACTTGTTCCCTGAGTCGTCTGGGAAGACATTTAGCCGCGTGTATGGAACGAAGACGTCCGCTTCGGAGGACCTATGCATGAAAAGAAGACTGCGAGGCCCTGGTTGGGTTCGTCTCACCAACGCCACTCCAATGCAGTCCAAGGTATCGCATGCCAAGTGCTCGTTGACTATACCTTCGCCGATGGACGTGACTGTTGCCAACGACATGTCAGACAAGGATCCGCCTCCAGTTTCAGCGCTGTGCCTTAATGCCAAGACAACGCTCAACCCGAAGACTGGAGCTCATGAAATAGTCATGCTCGCTGGCGTATTTGTAAGGGGAGTCCCGCTTAGTGGCCCTCTGCCGGAAAACGCTCTTGAGCCTGACGGCCCGACCGGAACTCGGGACTTTATTCTTGTACGGGCTCCTGACGGCCAGAGTGTTCCATTTGGCTTTTCGGACCGGGCAAGATCAGTGTTGGCGCGCGGTGGTGGAGTGGAAGTCGCCCCGAACGAATCAGTCTTATTGAACAGTTTCTTGTCAAAGCTACTCCGCCTAGACCCGGATGTCCTTTTGGGTCATGACCTCATGGGCTTTGGTTTAGACGTTTTAATTGCCCGCATGAATGTCAGGCGGTCAAGAGAATGGAGTCGCCTTGGCCGTCTTGTGCAACGCCGTGACCTCAGCCATGTTGTCAAAAACAACAGCAGTTCGTCGTGGTTCAAGTCCGAGGCCGTCGCGGGAAGGCTTGTGGTGGACACTTACTCGTACGCAAAGGAGCTTCTCACTCGAGAGAAGGACTACTCATTGTCAGCGCTGTCTCGGAATGTCCTGGGTGGGCACTTATTGGGCGGGACATCCGGGCATCTTCCCCCTACCACTGACGTTTCCAAGGTTCCGGCGGCTTTCGACTCTACAGACTCTCTTTGCAACCTTGTTTTCGAGTGCTCTCTGGAAGCCCGAACAGCTGGCCGGTTGGCTGCACATCTGTCTGTTCTTCCACTCAGTCGCCAGCTCACATGCATCAGTGGAAACCTTTGGTCGCACACACTGCGAGGAGCACGCGCCGAGAGGATCGAATATTTATTGTGCCATGAATTCAAGCTCATCGGGGCGAAGAATACAGGAACATCCGGAAAGGCCGGGGACATAGGGTCGAAACTGCTCCTCCCAGACAAGCTCACTAAAGCCGAAAGAGTAAGGCTTGGCAAGCAGTTCGAAGAAGAGCAGAATGCCAATGCTCCTAGGCCACCGCCAGGTGGAGCAGAGGCTGAAATTGACGGCGCCGAGGGTGCAACCCCAAAGGCGAGTGCGAAGTCGGCAAAGAGCAAAAGTGCTCGACGGAAGCCCCAATACTCCGGAGGTCTTGTGCTCGAGCCGAAAAAAGGGTTCTATGACCGCTACACACTGCAGCTGGATTTCAACTCTCTGTATCCTTCCATTATCCAAGAGTTCAACATCTGTTTTACGACTCTAGACTTGGCAAAACACAAGGAGAAGTCGGCATCCGAATTAGAAGCGCCCTTTGCGCAAGGATCCCCGGACGAAGGGGTGAGTGGTGCTGATGGGTCGGCAATGATGAACCTCCCAAACAAAAGTCTCTTGGAGGGTGTGCTTCCTCGAGTTCTACGGCGGCTCGTAGAGCAACGACGCCAAGTGAAGAAGCTTTTGAAGGAAGAACGCCTCAAAGCTGGAAAGGAAACGCTTCGAGCTCAGCAGCTTGATATTCGGCAGTTGGCGATAAAGTTGACAGCCAACTCACTCTATGGATGCCTTGGTTTCGAGGGCAGTCGATTTTTCGCTCGCCCACTGGCAGAAATGGTTACATGCCAAGGTCGTGACACTCTGCAGAAAACTGTCGACCTCGCTCGGGATTCTTTCAACGCTCAAGTCATCTACGGTGACACAGATTCTCTTTTCGTATATACAGGCCTTGATGACATCAACCGAGTGAGGAAGCTAGGAACAGAGCTGAAGCGAGAAGTCAACAAGAAGTATCGCACTTTGGAGATTGAAATCGATGCTATCTACAAGAAAATGCTGCTTTTGAAGAAGAAAAAGTACGCAGCCCTAAAAGTTGTCGATCCCAACAACCCGGACAAGGTCGTGCGAGAAGTCAAGGGTTTGGACTTGGTCCGACACGATTGGTGCGATCTTTCCCACGACGCCTCGGAACACTTCCTGCAGCAGATATTCCAAATTCAGGCAGCCGACATCGATGACGCAGTTGGGAATATCGTTACCTTCCTTGGTGAGCTCGCCAAGAGGGTGAACAACAACGAAATATCTCTCTCCAAATATGTCATCACGAGATGTTTGACGAAGCGCCCTCAGGACTACCCGGAAGGTGGAGGGTTGCCACATGTCACTGTAGCAATTCGCTTGATCAATGAGCACAAGAAGCGCATCAAGCCGGGGGACTATATCAAATATGTCGTTTGTCTTAATGCCGCTGATGGCGAGCAGTCATCGAGTGGGAGCAAGTCAGTTGCGCAACGAGCTTATCATCCGGACGAAGTCATCGCATCCGAGGGCAAGCTCGTTATCGACCTGAAGTACTATCTTGAGAACCAGGTTCTTCCTCCCATTATGCGACTATGTGACCCCATCGAGAGTATCGAGGCCAGCCGTATTGCAGTCTCTCTTGGCCTGGACGGGCGGCGTTATGAGCGAAAGACCTATGACATGGACAGTGGGAATTACCTTGCCCTTGGTCCACAATCAGCTGCTGAGAAGTTCCAGGATGTTGACCCGCTAATGGCATGTTGCGTAAACTGCGGTGCGCAGAGTGAGTTCCAGGGCGTTTTGTTCAAGTCCTCCGGGAAGGCGATCCAGACAGCGGGCTTGGACTGCTGCAAGTGCAACCGGCGATTCTCCTCAGCGACGCTCGCCAACATCATAACCCTTGCTCTACGCACTTGGACCAGCAAGTACTACACTTCCGCACTACAACTGAACGGGGACGACGGTAGTCGTAAGCGCGAAACGCGCAACATCGCACTTGGCGGCAACGGGGCCCTGGCTAGACGCAAGTTCGATGAAGCGTGGTTGTACAAGCAGCTGCGATATTTGCGGTTCCTTGTGGACGTCCCCGGTCGGTGGGCTCTTATACCGGGGCATGAGGAGATGAAAATCCCTGTGAATCGAGCAGACTTATCGATGTACGAGGAATTGCTGGAACGAGTAGATAGAACGTTCGATGCGAACGCGTACCGGTTTGTCGACCTGGCTTTGTTCCTTGCGCCGTTGGGCATCTCCTGATTGCATAGTGCATGACGGGAGGTTGTAAAGTGTTCCTGTTTTGTTTTCAGTGTTATTCTTGCCCTTTTGCTCGGAGGAAGGTGTGCGCAGTCTTTCAGTAGGGCTGGACACTTTGTAAGTCACGTGGGCTTTGTGAGGCATCTCGAGACGTTTCCAATGTCATTTTCTCAGCGTCTTGTTCAAAGCTACGAAGGTTGACCGTTATCCAGAGAGCTCATGTGAGGCATGGTGGGTTTCCCTCGTACTGGGACAAATAAATAGGATCAAACTTCGGACAACCATGGGAACGGGCTACCTTCCCGAGAAGCGAAGGTACATAAGTGAGTAAAATGCGGACTGTGCTTTACAAGTTAACTATACAAAAATCTAACCAACCGACCCTCTACCGAGATGTCTCATCCTTGCCCGCAAACTTGTTCTCAAACTTAGCCCTTCGCCCCAGCTTCTTGCTAAGCTTGCTAGGCTTACCAGTATACGATTCATGCGTGAGATAATCCTCCTCCAAGATTTTGGTCGTGATCTGCAAGCCGGGCTTCGGCAGCTGCCATGCAGTGGACACCATGTAGCTGGAGCCGTCGGTAAGGACGAGGCGGGTCAGATGGAGCATAGGGTGGATGCCAGGTCGCGGCATGCTGTGAGAAGGAAGGCGGGTTAGCGATCGTGTGTGCGTCATGGAGAAGGGGGTGCAAGGGTGTTCGCTCAGGGGAAAGAAGATAATAAAAATACGTTGTATTCACTCATTCTGGTTCGGAGAGATTCCTACAGCGTTTTTGTTTCATCATTGCGAGGGCCGGGCGGAGGGGATGGGTACTTACCTGTTGGTTAACGACGATCGGATCGGCGAGATACGATCCGTACGAAGTCGAAAAAGAGGCGGATCGCCGCGGTAGAAGGAGGCCTTGGGCTCCCCGACGCTCCCGACCGCTGCCGGGAGCAACTACTGTAGCTATATAAGCGGTCGGAGCAGACATGTCGCATCGGGGATCAACGGGACATTTTGCGCTTCCCCGGTTTTCGTAATGGCAATTAAAAATGGGCCAGACGAATTTGGCAACGGACAATCTAATTCGTTTCTCGACCTGCAAGAGTACGAGGGACATTTGTACACGTGGCAACCATTGCTGAGCAAAAACCGTCCGGCACGTATACTGTACAGTATTGTGCAATTACAGTACTCTGGGATCGACGCCCCACTCCCAGACAGCGAAGGTACAATTTCACGAGCCGGATCTACCCTTTAAGGGTAGCTAGGACTGGGTTCAGTCGGATATCCTTCGGACGGGATACCCGGGAAACAAGTAATTTCGACCGTGATAGATTAGGGCGAAAGAGACCAAGCGGCATTGAAAAGGCTCTGGCTCTGGACTCGTCAGCAGACGCTCACAATATCTGCTTAACGAGTTGCTGCACTGACGTCGTTCTCATCGTGGTATGGTCCGAAGTTGTTCTGTACCCGGCTGAACTGCTAACGCATAGCGATGCCTCATCAAACAACTTGTCTCAGAACCTTTTAATTATTCATTCCAGAAGCTAACCTAAGCCCAGAAGGGCAACCAGTCCACCGACCGCACCCGTCATTGCGAGCACGCTTCCACCGCCATGCTCCACTCGTGTCCCTTAAAGCACCCCTCGTCCTGACACGGAAAAAAGATAACAGTAAACACCCTAACCTTTGAGCTCCTACCCGCCATCCAAAACTCATACGTCTCCCCCTTTGTCAAAGTGTTTCTCGTTGTAATTGTATGCTGCTTAAAGTCCACCGAAAAAGCCTTCGTCGCCCTCCCATTGACATTCTGGTAGGCCTTGATCCACCCGTTCACGTCCCTCGACTTCCCCTTCCGCTTGAGCTGCCAACCTCCTCCCGGGAAATGCACAAACACATCGTTGTAGTCTGTGCCACCGCTCGTCTCCCAGTCGAGCGTTAGTCCGTACCGGCTTGTAACAGGCGCCACGAACTTGTACTTCAGCACGGATGATTCAGGCCGGTCCGTTTTCTTGCTGTCCTCACCCCACTTATACGCCATCGCCAGTCCATTGCGCTCCCAGAGCCCCTCTTTCTCTGTAAAATTCATCGCTGGGATCCTCACACACGCAGTGTCATTCGCGAGTTGGCGCGAAGGCGCCTCGACCGGAAGCACCTTGGCCGTCGTTTTCAGATGTCCGCAGTCAAAGTAGACGTCCGCAATGGCCTTCTCGCTATTGTCCAGATTACATTCAAGTTTGAAGTGCTCTTTGCGATGCAGCCACGGCTTTGCGATGTTGTCTATCTTTGGCGTCATCAAGAAGGGGGGGCGCGTGTCCATGTGAAAGTTGTTGTCCCAGGTGAACTTTGCGAGTGTAGCTGTGCCCTTCCGAGGCTTGTCGGGGACGCACTCGACGGTGAATTTCGGGAAGATGTGCGATGAGCAGATGACCGTGCGACCATCTAGCATTGGACCGGTTTTCATTTTAGAGACCGGAACATTAGCTTGCATTATGCGGAGATACGCGGCATGGCAATATGTGCTCAGAATCAAGAGAGACGTGAGGAAAAGCGGAAAGGCGTTCATTTCGGTATTGGCTGGGAAGAGAGTGAAAGTGTATGTTCCCAACCGGAGAACGGCTCCCTGTTATAGTGTTGGATTTAAGAACTCGTTTCATTTGCACGGCGACGCAGAAAGCAGAGCGTGTGGCGAAGCCTTGATGACCTCACTGCTCACCAACATAAAAAAAAAATGGATATGGATTTACCAGGAATACGGCACAGGGTAAATACGTCTAGGGAAAGTTTCCCGCTGTGTGCATCACATTGAATAGGAGTCGTGTTCACTAGTTTTGAAGCAATAAAGTTTACGGCTTAAGGATCTGTGTCTGTGTTGCGTGTCGACAGAATCCTGAACTAAAAACAGCAACAACTTACCTACTGCGCTGGAACGTATTGACGCAGACATGTAAAGGAGTTTCAAACTCGGAAGTGATGCAACAGGTTTTTGCATCAAAAGATCAAACCCGACTTTTTCCGATATGATACGCATGATGCGTCCCTGCGTGCGGTGAACGCATGTGACAACTTGACGCATTGCCAAAATGAACGCCAATTTTCACAGCTGAGTCTGTTGTCGTATCAGTTGCATGGCCTACCCGGAATGCTTGTCCTTTATCTGAAAGCCTAGCAACATTCTATATTTGGTAGGTGAAAGACATAATCTTGACTCATTCGGGAGAAAGTCAAATAGGACCGGTGGGAAAAGAAACGCAAGGCGCATTCAAGGACAGATGTGGTTAAAAAGCGCTCGTTTCTATTGTTATGATCCATTCTCATGCAAAAAAATACATGTGAAGTGTACCCCATGAGCTGTCGAGGAGTGTTTACTAATCGGGAAAAAAAAGGAAAGTACGCCGGCCGGGAATTGAACCCGGGTCTCGCCCGTGGCAGGGGCGTATGCTACCACTATACCACCGGCGTCTGAGTTGATGCATGGATTAAAAGTTTTTATGAATTTATTCCACACTGCTTCTTCTTTCTGACTGTAAGCAACTGTAAGTCCGCATGCCTTATCATGGCGCGGCCTTATCTTGTCCCGCCCAAGTGTGAGTCCTTGAAGCCTGCCCTATGATATGGCATGGGCCCCCCCTTGATTAGTGAAAATAAAAACGAAATGTAAGTCATATTACGGCGCGCGGCCCTATCGTATCCGGCCCAAGTGCTTGTCCTTGATGACGCCTGCTTCGTGATACAGTATAGCAACGGCCTCCCGACAGTGTTAAAGAAATAAGGAACGCGTAAGTCGTAATAGCCCACACACTAACGTTGTCCGTAAAGTGACGAAAAGGCGTGTTTTGGCGGCGAGTTTGCTCGCATTTTCTGAACGTAAAATTTTCAAACAACGCGTTTGGCAAAACTCACAGCATACCGAAAATTCGGGGCATGTGAGTTTTCCACGAGTTTCACATCCGCCTGATCACAGCAGTGCCGGATCGACCCGTCGTGAAGAAAAACGAAGTGGGTCTTCCGTTCTTTTCATCAGCACAAACGAGTCTGAGACTGCAAGGGTCGTATCGATATGCGTCATGGACGCCCCTATCATTTCATCTGCGCAGAGTCCATCAATGGATCAAAGCGCGACAGGATCTGCCACAGATGCCGCCGAGCAACCGCGAAAGAAAGACAAGTAGTAGCTTTTAAAAAGCGGTCCTCTCTAAACGGCCCCCCTCAGGCTGTCAAGAAGACGAAACACATCGCCCTTTCGACTGAGAACCTTTCTATCCTTGTGGCGAGCTACAATATTCGCTTCAGCGAGTATTCGCACAGGTGCACGTGATCCGCCGGGCGGCACAACGATATACCAGACTTCCGTTTGTTCCGGGAAGGTACCTTGCTGGAGGTCAGTCCGCAAAACTCGTGGTGGGATTTTTCAAACTCGAGTTTACTTTACGTCTAGCGAGTTTGTGGGCAAATGGAAAAAAACAATGCATTATTTTACGGACAACGTTACTGAAAGATAAATAGAAGTTTGGTACAGTAACAATGATAAGTCAGGAGATACAGCCAATCCCGGCATGCTCTTGAAATCGGCCAAATAATTAGCTTCCGCCGTGGGAGGGTGCCGATTGTCTAATTCATTTGCAGTGTTTCCAAACACGTCTTGTCTACCGGCTGACGGGTACATACGCACCGTGACAGCCGGGATAAACGGGGACAAACGTAATGGTGGGTTACTCAAAAGGGCTTGTTTCACGAGGGTGGGGTTCAGCGCAGTGCAAACATTGCAGATGTCTGCTCTACTGCTGAAAATGTCTGCACCACAGTGCAGACAATAATCATGCCAACAATTTTACGCGAACCCACCGTAATTAAAATGGCTGATACTGTAGTCCCGATAGCAGCCGGTAGACAAGCACAATAACAATATTATTGTCTCTTGGCTACCCCTCGTGCTGCAATATGAGGCCCTCGGCAAAAGCCTCGGGGCTCATATCTGCACTCGGAGCGTGTCTGCGCTCGTAGCCGGGAGACAACCCCTACATGTCTGTTCTACACGCACACCTGCGCGCGTGGCACATCGTCGTCCTGGAGGACGGGGATGTTATCTGCGAAACGATTTTGGCACTCACAACCGACGGTATCATATGCTCAGGCTATGGGCACTACATTTGGGGCGGGCACAAGACGCTTGCGGAGAGGAAGCGCGTGAAGACACAGTGCGCGGGACGCTGAGTTTCCGTGGTGGGCCATGATGCCGGAAGAACGGAGACCGGGTGCCCGTACGACGTGCACATAGAAAGTGCTCCGAGATCGTACCGCGTAGAGCATTACCGCCGTCATTTAATCGCGTTTCTGATGTTCAACGCCGTGGGCACCCCCTGTTTGTACTCACCAGCCACTATGGTTGGTTCCCTGTTCCGAACGCAAAAATCCGGATAAGTTAACTTCCTGTCGGTCATGCGGATATGCAACCACCCGCGGTCATCTTCCTCGGAGAAAAAACTGTGCCCGCTCTGGATTTGGAAAAGTCTATTATTATCATATCTCCAGCCCGACTCATAAAGCTTTTGCATGCTTATTCCTTCACTCAGTCTGATGCTTCCGCCCGCCCCGTGGACGGCATAGCATGCTCCGACCGCATCTAGCCAAGGCATGGGCGTAGTGCTCCTAGCGATTAGGCACTTGAGCTCTTCTTCGTTTGACAATCCTAGATGTTTCATTATGTCAGAACCACTGCGCATCACCTTGTTTCCTAGCAACGTGTTTCTGATAGCATTGTCGTCCTCACTCTTGAGCTTTACCAGTCCAAACACACTTACCAGCAGTAACGTTGCTGTCTGCGCGCTGTCCGCCAACCTCTCAAATGCATTATCCCTGTCAGAAAAGTTGAGCGCCCCAACTACGATGCTCACTGTCACTGCCGCCACTACGTAGAGTAAAGCGGCTTGTCTTTTTATCCTACTAGTGTCACAACTCGCGCCATCAGGATGCGACCTAATCAATTCCAGGCGTGCTAACTTGTCGCGCTCTTTCTCTAGTTCGCGATAGCAATGCTCCACAACATGATTTAGGAACAAGGCTTTGTCTATCACTTCTTGAAGCCGAGCCGTTTCGAGCTCTTGGACAGTCTTAAGAAAGGAGCTGAAGTCGCCTTCGAAAGATGCGTAGGATAGCTCTCTTTCATACACAAACAGAGCCCTTTCTTTTGTTTTCGACGGTAAGTCTACTGAGAGGCTCGAAATTAGGATGAAAGTCGCTATAAATGTTTCAAATGTTGAAGATGTTGAAATGATATCGAGCATCCAAATGGCTTCAATAGCGTCTGCTTGTTTAGTAGGGCGCATAATTGTGGGTACTTCTCCATACAAAGGATTCAGGAATTTGCGAAGATTTTCCGTTCCCCGTTCTGAGAACGCCAGTCCGTCTGCATCGGGCATCTTGAAGGATTCGTCTCTAGTTGCAGCCTTCACGGCGGCCAGTAGACTGCGGCCCCTTTGTCGTCTTGCATCAGGGTCCCGAACGCGCTCTAGGTAATGTCCTCCGAGATCTCTGACCGACCGAGCCTCTTTTCTCCGAGTTTGATCATCAGGTTCCAGGGCACTGATTGCCTGTTTGTTCTCGTGAAAAAGATCTCGAAGATTGTCATTCAACGGTCTCACGCTCTCCTGACTGGGCCGGGCCTCCATCAGCACCCTTGCCGATGAGCCCAACCATTGCGATAAACATAAGAACAAGGTTTTGTCAGCTTCCTCCATCTTCTCGCTTGTAGCCAATAGGTGTAGGGCGACGTGCGTGTCTAAGACAAATTGCATGACGACTGGTGACAACGGGAAAGCTTTTGATGGTGCCCTGTGCGTGCATGAAATAGACGCGCGTCGGTTTAAAGACGGACCGAAAATGTGTGTTTGTGCAATGCGCAGACGGGCGGGGTTAACGGCAACGGGGAACGTGGAGACAAGTAAGTGTCTCTTGGCGAAGTTGCGCTGAACGGGTTGTTGAAAGTCTAGTGTCTATTGGACAATGCGCCTCATTTGAGGATTTCGCCTCATATGAGGCTTTTTTGCCGCGCCGTTTCTGGCGCAAAGAGGGAGAACTGAAAGCCATAGTTACCGCGAAACAGTAACAGTAAGAGTAAAAAACAATGTCCAAGTCCCATGAAGGCACCTAGAATGCACGGTATTTAGGAGGGTCTCTCTAATGCTCTGACAGACAGGAAAAATCCTCATGATCAAAAACGTCCGTCCAATAGACACTAGTGATCCTTTCACAGCTGTGCGCCTTGCAAGAGTGCCGGCAGAAATCGTTCTGTAGGGCCACCTCTCATCTTGCTGTTTATCGCAGCAGTTTTTTGAAAAGTACAAAAAAACGCTCGCATTGAAGTGTGCTTTCAATGCAAGAAAGCACTTATTTTTATCAAAATGAAATGATTTCGCCGATATGATTGATTCACTTGTTTAAGTATTGCAGCCAGCAGCATGGGTGCTGTATGCAGTGCATACTATGCAGTGCATACAGCACCCATGCTGCTTTCTTGGTCTTCTTCACGCCAAGAACAGAGAAGCAAACAGCTTCCCGCGAATTTAGAATCAGAATGAAACGTCTGGGTGTCGCAAAAAATAAAAGAAAAGGGGGGAACAATAAAGGTTAACCGGCAGGACCGGGCGAATGAGGGGAATCGCGCTTTTTATTGTCGTGGCTTCGTTTTTGTTTTTCGCTTGTCTTGGCAGCTAGTCTGCCTCGACTCTTCCCTTATTTATACTACTTCAGCCAGGTGCTTCGTCCTCTCCTCACGTGTAATGTTTTGCACTATCGAAGCATTTTTAGGAGAGGATGCACTGCATGTTGACAGCTGAGATTATTAAAATGCTCCCGTTGTTGTGCATTACATTAATTGCGTTGAGGTGCATTTTATTCGTCCTGTATGCGTCACCGTCATACCATAATTTCCCACACTGGAGGTTACAGAAGCGGAGTACAGTATGAGAGAAAGGAGAGAAAGGGAAGGCATGGCCGTTACACGAGATCTGTCATGGCGGAGAGTGTGGTGTCTCGAGCTTTCATTGCGCAGGCTGCAACATGAATGTTCTTTTGTTTGCTTCCTGTGGTGCAAGAAGCGATAGCCGCGTTTACTGGTGCCTGCGGATTGCCTGCCTTATGAGGCAAGTCCCGGTTTCCGTCGTCCGTCGGCGTGTGCGGTGAGCTGATGGCGCCGGTATACGTGTACTGCGTGCACGTGTATGGCCGTCCTGACACTGCCTTCCTCCCCCGCTACTTGACGTCAAGTAAGTACGAGCATGAGGAGCCTTGTTGGCTGCTTTGAATGATCCAATTTCATTGGATCATTCTACACTGTAAAAGGTTATCATCAAGCACACCTGAAATGCCTGAAATGAATGAATTCACGTGCCGCGGTATCCCTCATCCTTTTACACAACATCGGGATACGTCATCGCCTCACATGTTTGTTGGCGACTAGGGTCCCTAAACTCAAAAGTCCGCTTTGCAAAGGCACAACTCCATCACGCCTGGCCCTTCACCCTCTCCTTCTCCCCCTCCAGCCCTCTCCAAACCTAGTCATCGGCAGCAAAAGGTCAAAATGGCCCCCCTCGGCCTGCCCCGAGAAAAGCAACGCCACGCAATGCTTTCCCTCATTCTGTTGGTGATACAAGCGAACCTTCTGACTACCCACATCGAACGCATAAAGCTCCACGTTGAGACTAAACGCCCTCGCCACGGCAAAGATCTCCAAAAAACCCCACATCTGCCCGAGCCAATGCCCCTTCAGCCCGTCCTCCCTCACGCCCCTCACAAACGCCTGCACGCTCTCCTCGGCCTCCCCCTTGCCCCCGCTCACTACGCGCGACTCGTCCACCTTTTCCGCGTAGAACCCGGCCTGCGCCGCGACGTGCGCGGCCAGCGCCGCGCGCACCCACCGCCCGGACACGTCGTTGCCGGGCAGCCGCCCCGCGATCAGAAGCGCCCACGACACCGCCACGAACCCGCAGTTGCCGCCCATCGGCATCGGCGTCAGCTCCACCACCCGCCCCGTGTGCAGCCTCACCGCCCTCTTCGACGGCGTCGCGTTAACCAGCGCCCGCCGGAACGCCGTCGACGTCGCGTACGTCGCCTGCGAGTCGCGCGCCCGCGCACGCGACCGCAGGAGGAACCGCCGCCGCCGTCGCCGCGGCGTCTCGGGCGGGGGACACGTCGAGGGGGTGGGCGCGATCGAGGCCGCCGCGGGAGCCGGCTTGTTCGTCGGCATGTGGGAGACGGCCCGCGCGGATTGGAGGGGTAGGAGCCGCCGCGAGAGCCCGAGCCCCGGGCTGCTGCTCGTTTGCTCGGCCATTGGGGGGGTGCGGGAGCGGGGGGAAGAGACGAAGGATGACACAACGGGATGGAGGGACAGGTGACGGTTTGGGGGGGGGGGGGGGGGGGGGGGGGGAGGGGGGGATGGGAGGCCTGGGAGGAGGGCCATTTGAGCATTACATATTGTGGGGAGGAAAGGATAGACTGAGTATAGAACGGGCAGCAAGGGAGGCGAGAAAGGTGCGAGAATGGACATGCCTCGGCAGAATAATTCAACTCCACAAACCTTCATCTTACGACTGACGTATGATACGCAGTCCACATCTGGGACACGTCTCGCTCATCAGCAGGGCCGTTTGAGCGCACCCTTGCGCTGCTCCCTTGTTCCCTTCTGCCGCACGCTATTCGACGACATGCGCCGCCACCTCGTTTCGCTCCTGTCATGGGCGCCCGTGGGCGTCGTCGTGTCGGACAAGCTCTTCACGCTGCACTACGACGCCTGCGGCGCGCTGGAGCCGTCGATAGCGCGCGGCTCGCTGCTGCTGATCTCGCGTCTGCACGCGCCGCAGGCCCTCGTGCGCGGCGACCCTGTCCTGGTCGACGACGTGTCGGGCACGCGCCGCCTGCTGCGACGCGTCATCGCGCTGCAAGGCGACTACGTGCGCGCGAGGGACGGCGAAAAGCCGCCCACCATCGTGCCGCGCGGCTGCGTGTGGCTTGAAGGCTGCCCCGACGAGTGCGGCGGCCCCGACGAGTGCGGCCCCGTCCCGGCTGCACTGGTTACCGGCACCGTCGTCGCCGTTGTTAATGCCGGTAAGAGGGTCGCGAGAGAGCCAAGTGATCGCGTGGTTCAGCCGGCTTCGAGATATTCATGAGGGCGCGCGCGAGTACGCTTGTCCGAGATGTGCATCTTTGGGACATGCCTCTTGGTCTTACAGATCCGAACGAGCTTGCTTGCTCATGGATCCCACGTCGCGCGCAGATGGGAGACGAGTGGGTAGAAAAGGGAGAAGCGAGGGATGTGTTATCAGAGATGGCGCATAATGAAGCGGGAAGCGGGAAGAATGATTTGGCGGACTCGCTTCGCGAGCTGTCTATCTGTTTTGAGCAAGGGCTACCCACTGTAGCGGCGGCGCAGGACGTGTGATTATCAAATGGTATGGCAGAGTTGCTTGGTATCATATTTGCACTCACTGGAAGAAATTATGTGGGCTTCGGCGACAAGAGCGAAGCGTAGATTATCCCGAATAATGCCGGGCGTCGGTCTCGTCAGCTGCGCCTGCATGGTGTTCGATATCCTGCTCGGCGACACCCCATCTGTGGGACCCAACACTGCGATGTCGAGGACAGGGGATTTATCCCATGGCGCGACGGGAGATCTTGCATATTTTCCGATTGTCAGCCTTCCAGCCGATCACTTCTATTAAAAGCTTTGGCCAAGAGCCTTGTGCAGTAAACACTTCCTCAGGGTGATATGAATTTCTTCGTCTCGTTCGCGACGCGGTTAGCGTCATCCTTGGAAGATGAAGGGAGTTAAGAACAGACTAACTTTTGACTGTAAGCAGATTCAGTTCTCAGATCGCCATCCAGCACCAGTGCAGAGTAAAATCTCGATACTGTACAGCAACGTTGTCCGTGAAGTGACGAAAAGGCGTGTTTTGGCGGCGAGTTTGCTCGCATTTTCTGAACGTAAAATTTTCAAACAACGCGTTTGGCAAAACTCACAGCATACTGTACCGAAAATTCGGGGCATGTGAGTTTTCCACGAGTTTCACATCCGCCTGATCACAGCAGTGCCAGATCGACCCGTCGTGAAGAAAAACGAAGTGGGTCTTCCCTTCTTTTCACTAGCACAAACGAGTCCCAGACTACGCGGGCCGTAGCGATATGCGTCATGGACGCCCCTATCGCTTCATCTGCGCAGAGTCCATCAATGGATCAAAGCGCGACAGGATCTGCCACAGATGCCGCCGAAGCAACCGCGAAAGATAGACAAGTAGAAACTTCTAAAGAGCGGTCCTCTCCAAACGGCCGCCCACAGCCTGTCAAGAAGACGAAACAAATCGTCCTTTCGACTGAGAACCTTTCTATCCTTGTGGCGAGCTACAATATTCGCTTCAGCGAGTATTCGCACAGGTGCACGTGATCCGTCGGGCGGCACAAAGATGTACCAAACTTGCGTTTGTTGCGGGCAGGTACCTTGCTGGAGGTCAGTCCGCAAAACTCGGGGAATTTTTCAATCTCGCGTTAACTTTACGTTCAGCGAGTTTGTGGGCAAATGGAAAACAACAACGCGTTGTTATACGGACAACGTTAGTGACCCCTAAAGCTGACGAGCCTTAGGGTGACCACACCGCGGACGAAAAACCTTGCCCAATTTTCCAACCACCAAATTTTAGACCATTGGGCAAGATTGGCATAAAGGGGGGTAACGCAACTCTCGGACAACTTAGGGTTTACGCAAAAGGATTTCTGTAACGGATATGACTAAAATTTCACAAACCAAAATTACAGCTAGGGGGTTGGTCATGAGTACAATCGAGCATATACGCAAAGTAGAACGTGAGCAACTGCATAGGAGTACTAGTAGCATCGATAGCATTCACCCGCCAAGTGATGGCAAGAGAACGTCAGCGCGACCATTCCGTGACTCTTGCCACAGCAGGGGCAATGAAATGGAGAGCAGCCTTGCGTGTATTGACGGCACGACGTCATCTACCTTCACCTTCTTCAACAAGTGTTGTTTTGATGCACTGTGTCAAACGCTGTATGTCCGAGCAAAGTGAGCTCTTCCGCTTCTCTGAACGTTCTAACCGCATCTCTCTTTCTTCCTTTTCGTTTAACTTCAATGCTTTAACAGATGTATGTTGCCTCTCTCTTTTTAGATTCCGCAAGCAAGATGTAATCCGAATGGTGACGGCAAGTGCATGGGAAAGGGACATTACTACCAGGAATCGCTACGTATGCTCCCCGCTTCTCGTAACATATGTCTTACCTCGTCTGACCACACCTGCACGCTGGCGCGACATGGAGATGCTGTTCGGGAAGCATGGAGGGCAACTGTCAGAGATATTTGGGAGGGAATGGAAAGTTTCTTGGAAGCTCGTCAACATTTAATACTCTCAGACATAAATTCTACCTTCTTTAGTGAAAAGGCCGAGCTATACGCATGTGCCATCAAACATAAATGTGAAGCATTGGACAACTGCACAGGCTTCATAGATGGTACAGTTATTGCTATTGCTCGGCCGAGTAGAAGGGAGGGGCAGAACGTAGCGTACAATGGTCACAAGCGCAAGCATGCATTAAAATACCAAGCCATTACATCACCGGATGGCTTGGTTCGACATGCTGCTGGACCAATTGAGGGAAGGAGGCATGACTGGACGCTCTACTGCCGGAGTGGAGTGGATGAGTCCTTACCGCAAGTTATGTTCGTAGGAGGGAAGCAGTACTGCATGTATGGGGACTCCGGATACAACCCGCGCCCATTTCTAGAAGTACCGTATCAAGGCTCCAACCTAAGGGCTCACCAACGCAAATTCAACGGTGCTATGTCTAAGGGAAGAGTGACGGTGGAGTGGAATTTCAAGGAAGTGAAGCTGTACTGGTCCACTATGGACTACAAGAGAAAGATGAAGACGGGAGAGTCGCCTATTAGAGCTCTATATATCGCCGCTATGCTGCTTACGAACCTCAGAAATTGCGTGTATCCGAACTCCATCTCCCAATACTTCCTCTGCGCACCTCCCACCCTGGAAGATTACTTCGACCACAAACAACAATAAAGTGTCTACTCTCCCGAGTCCTCAACATGTCCTCACTCCTCGTTCGCCTGCGCGAAGGGCAGGCGAACGAAGTCCACGTGCCGCAGGCCGCGAAGCGAGCGGACTTTGTCCGCAGCCCCGCAGGGAGCCCTGTGCGAGCAGCGCCAGCGCGTTTGGAGGCTCAAAAACGGCACTCTTACTAGTAAAGGAGGCGCAAAAGGGCTGAATGTATTGTTTTTGTGACAAGTACTGTAGAGCTACTTCTTAGTGTCGTGCACTGAGGGGGAAGGGTAGGATCCCCCTCTGGCAGAACGCGCGCGTTCGGGGGGCGCGTGTAGGGGGTTATCGGGAGACCACCCGTAAGGGACCGGTACGGGGCCGGGCGCGAAGCGCAGTAGGGAAAGTAAGGGAAAAAGAGGGAAAACAGAGCCCAGGAGGGGCGGAGCGGTAAGGACAGCTGTCGCGCGGAGAGCCGAGCGTAGCGGGACGACGCGCGCGGTAGAGACAGGAGGGAATCGGGACGTAGATGGCTCGCAGGGTACCGTCGTGGGACGGGGACCGACGCGAGGCTACGACTCCGTTCCAGAAACGCGAGTTGTAGACTCAAAGCTTCGTACCGTTTTACTTAGGGTCGGACGTCGGCTATATACTAGCCGACGTCGGAGCTATAATTAATTAAACTAAAAATACTAAATTAATAATGACGGCGGCGGTGGCCGGAGAAACTCCTCTTGGGGAGGTATGACAACCCTTACACGTGGGGAATGACACCTGGACACAGGGGCCTTGGCGCCCGGTTACACGTGGCGTGAGGTACACATGTGCACCGGAGGGGGGAGCCGCGCTGGCCGGGGACAGGTGTCCCGAGTGAGAAGATGAGGGGTGTCAGTGCACTACACTTAGTCTGCATGAAGGCACTCATCATCATCTTGAACTTTTCAAGTTCGAGTTCGTGTTGCGCGATGCGTTCTTCTCTTCTTAACTCTTGCTCCTTCTCGCGGTCCATTCGTTCCATCTCGACGTGCTCGCGTTTCAGCACTAGACGCTCTTTATCTATTGCAAGACGAGCCATGTCGGCATCGCGCAATGCCATGCCAAAGCTTTCCAGATCCGCCTGGAACGCGCTTCTGGCGCGTTCTACTGACTGTCGGCGCTTCTTTCGAAAGCTCAGTTGGCCTTCTTCTTCTCCGTTAGCCTCTCGGTCTTCTTCTTCGGTTCTTTCCTTGCTGTCGGAGCGTTTACGCGTCAGCGAACGAGCCACGAGGTCCTTTCCAATTCTTACCTTCCTGGCCTCTCTCTCTTCTTGAGCAGCCGCCACCGCCTTTTTCTCCTTTTCCATGTCGTTTTGCACTTCTCCCATCATCCCCAGCACCTCGTGGAGCTCTCCGATTTCCCCGCCAACCCCTGACAGTCTTCTATCCGCAGCGTCCCGTCGCTCAAAGGCCTCTTGGATTTTCTTGTAGCAGTCTTGGACGCTCTTGGCAGTGACAGTCTGTGACAGTTTCCTTTTCATGTTTGCCCGCGTCGCCGCCTCGTCAAATCTCTTCTGGATTTCCCCATACCCGGCAACGTGTGCCTTATCGGCAGATACTTCACGTGCGAGTATGAGGTCGTCCTCCGGCGTAAACTTTGGTCGCCGGCCTCCTTTTTGTGGGGGGAGGGATCAAGCGCGCAATTGACATCGCTGCGCTCAGGGGTGGGGGTGTTGGGGATGGTGAGGTCGAGGGTAGGGGAGAGAGGAGGTGAAGAGGGGATAACGTTCGCCATGATGTGAGTAAAGGTGGTTACAACGTCACTCTAGAGCTCAGGTCTACATAAAAGGTGATGAAGGTACCCGCCAAATTTATACCACGTCTAACACGTGTGTTCGAAACGGTTACAGAAACGATTTCACTATGCACTCACGTTTCACGAATTTTTGTCACATCCGTTTGTGAAATCTGACTAACTGTAATGTTTTTTAGTCATATGTTAGTCATATGTTGCAGAAATGCGCCTGCGTAAATCCTCTAACGCCGCAACTATCCGGACTGCAAAAATATTTGAAAACATATGTGATGCGTGGGCCAAGACGCCGTCTCAACCATAGAGCACGCCACGAATCGTGTTCTAATTGCGAACCGTGTGGATAGATTTAAAAACAAGTCTGCCCAATGAGCAGAACACGGCATGTTACATAGAACCGTTGCGTACCTAATCACCAATTTTCCCGATACATGAGCGCGACATTCACAATTTTAATTACAAAATATGAAAATATTGACAGATTCTGCTCAATCAAATTGCAATCAATATCAGCAGTGAGTCCAAAAAACGTACGTGGCAATTGTTCTCACTAACCAGCAAATTTCAAAAAAGCCTGAAGCTTACTGTAACCTACCAAAACAGTATCATTTTATGGGAATTGCCTAATTGCCAACCACAAACTTTAAGAATTTATGCGCCGTGGCCCGTACGTAACGTCCGCTATAGAGCTTCTCAGACAGCTTAACGTGAGCTGCTGGGAGCACTTGAGGCA